TGTATAGCTGGCCGTATCGTCGGTTGAGTTCTTGTCTTTTGAGTCTAGTATGTGGGTTCCACGTTAGTCTTCGGTCTAAATGAAAGCCAAGATACCGGACTGTGTCTGAGTAAGGAAGCTGGATGGAATTAAAGTGTACTGGTGGACAGGAACTGCGTCGGGGTGTAAAGGTAATATGTTGGCATTTAGATTCATTAACTTTAATGCGCCAGTTATTACAACAGTGCTCAATCAAGGTGAGGTGGTTTTGGAGATTTAAGAATGCTATGTTGGGATCAGAGTTGGATGATAAGATTGCGGTGTCGCCAGCGAATGTTGCAAGAAAAGTATCGGGATGAACAGGGATGTCAGCAGTAAAGAGGATGTAAAGCACGGGACCCAAGACGCTGCCTTGGGGAACACCGGCTTTAACGGAGTAGATATTGGAAAATTCTGTTCCACAGCGAACTCGGAAGGAGCGGTCAGAGAGGTAGGATCGGAGGACTAGGTACAAGGACTGAGGTAAATGGATTTTAAGCTTGAAGAGCAGTCCGGAGTGCCATACCCGGTCAAATGCCTGTGCAATGTCCAGAAATGCAGCCGAACAGTATTCCTTGTTTTCTAGGGCTGAGGAAATATGATAAACAACTCGGAGTCCTTGTTGAACAGTAGAATGTTGGGAGCGAAAACCAAACTGATGGGAAGGAATATTTTGGGATTCTATAATGGGTAGGATTCGTTTCAAAAGGATCTTTTCAAAAATTTTTGAAAGGATTGGGAGTAGGCTAATTGGTCTATAGGATGTTGAGATATTGGGAGGTTTGCCTGGTTTTGGGAAAAGGATAATAGTGGAGTGTTTTCATAGCAGAGGAAAGTGGGTGGTGCGTAGGATACAATTGTAGATATATGTAAGGAATATGACTGCTTTGGATGGAAGTTGTCGAAGGATTTGAGGGGTAAGGAGATCATGTCCAGGAGCTTTACGGGGGATTAGTTTTTTTAATTGAAATTTCCCTTCGGAAGGATGAATAGCTTTTGGGGGCAAGGAAAGTGGGATTGGTGATGTAAGGAGTTCTTCTACTGTTACGGTGTGGGCAGGATGGGATTCCGGATGTGAAATAAATGTATTGGATAGGTGAATGGCGAACTCCTCAGCCTTATCTTCGTCAGATGCAGCCCAGGAGCCATTATCTCGTCGGAGGGGATGGGAAATGCGGTGAGGATTTAAGATTTTGGTAGTGGTTTTCCAAAGGGAATTGTCGCGAGAAGAAAGGGAGGATAGGTAGGAGTTGAAGGAATGTGATCTGAAGGTGGCTAATTCCAGTTTTAATTTTTTGCACTAATAATTATAGGAGCAGCGGTCGATAGGATGTCGGGTACGTTGCCACAATAATCTATCACGGCGTTTGGTTTGGATTAGGTCAAGGAGGTGTTGGGGTAGAATGGTCTTTTTAGGAATTCTGGAGGAGTCTTTTGGGAAGGAAGCAGTCCAGGCGGCTTGTTGGATTGTGGTAGTAAAGGAATTTACGGCACTATCAAGGTCATCGGGAGTTTTGAGGGATATGTTAAGATCAATTTTATCGGAGATGATTTGGCGGAAAAGGTCCCAGTTAACTGGGCCCCTAATAAATGACGGTGGAGAAGGTTTGGGAACGGGTTCAAGTGAAACATTAAGGATTAGAGGACTATGGTCAGAGGAAAGTTCATTTAGACGTGTAATGGAACAATTGAGGGGACTTAAGCCGCTGTGGATAAAGAAATCAAGAAGATCAGGATTACGGTTGGGGTCTGTAGGCCAGTAGGTAGGAGAGTTGGGGGAAAGGAGGTGAAAATGTTGGGAATTGAGTGCAGACAGCAGGGTTCGGCCACGAGTATTCGTGGTTCTGGAACCCCATTGTTGATGTTTGGCATTTAGGTCAGCACCCAAGATGAAGTGATGTCCTAAGGAGTCGAGGAGAGAACGGAATTGGGCATTGGATATGGATCGGTTAGGTGGGAAATACGCTGATGCAAGGGTAACCGGAAAGGAAAAGGTTTTTATCACGATAGCGGTGGACTGTAGGAAATCATGTGTAGGTAACGGGAGTAGGTGATGGGAGAGGGATTGGTGTACAATGACAGCAGTACCGGCATGTGCTTTTCCGTCAGGGTGGTCAGTACGATATGTCAGGTATTGTGGTATTTTGAAGTGCTGTTTAGTGGTTAGTCGAGTTTCAGTAATTAGTGCCACGTCAATATTTTTGTCAAGTAATAATGTAGTTAGTTCGTTTGTATGATTCCTAACACCATTCGCATTCCAAAGTCATTTAAGGATTTTTCGCGGGAGGGATAAAATGTGATACAAGATTGGTGAGAAGAGATATCAAAGGAGTAACAAGGGATCTGAATTCGGAGAGGAAAGATGTAAGTAAACTGGTGAGATCTGTGGTATTTGAGGGAGGAGGAATGCGGGGAATTTGGTGTTGATAAAACTGTTGATTAGGTGAAGTTTGATTAGGATGTTGAGAGTGGGGTTGAGAATTTTGAGGTATGTGTTGTTGTTGCGGCAGGGTCTCACAATAAGTAACATCATTCTTACCTCCTAATAAGTGTGCAAAAGACACCGTTGGGTCAATTTTTTTTTAAGGTCCTCTTCTTGATGCGTTAGGTTCTCTTCTTGATGCCTCTGCTTCTTCTTGGGTCCGGGATTTTTGATATCTTGATTTGATATTCTTGTAGATCTGACAGCCTTTGTAGTTCGCTGGATGTCCTTCAAGGCACAAAGCACAAACTGCAGGATCCCGTTTCGGTTTTGTGCACTCCCCGGATTTGTGCTGCTCTCCACATTTCACACAGCGCGGCAGATAATGGCAGTAAGTCCTGGTATGGCCATATGCCTGGCAATTGTGACACTGTACGATTTCCCTCTTAGGATATGGCTTCTCTACTATAACACTTGTGTAGTATATTCTTCTTATTTCGTATATTTTTTCGATCCCTTGATTTGGCTCCAAACCTACGAAAAATAAGGGTAGAGGAACTTTTACTCCTGGCTGTTCTTTACTCTCATTCTGTACATTTGTAATCTGGCGCACTATGAAACCTAAATTTTTCAATTCTTCTTTTATTGCTTCGGTTGGTGTTGAGGGGTGTAGATTTCTTATGACTACCCTCAAAGCTCGATCTTGCCGTAATTGGTACGTATGAAAATCCGCGTTGGTTTCCGTTAGATACTTCACAATTTTTCTGTAGGTTTCAGCTGTATCTGGTGATATCTTCGTGTCCTTTGTTCTGCTTAGACATGAATAGCTTCCAGAGCCTGTTATTTTGTTCAGTTGTGAGCATAGTAACTGAAAATTGTTTATGTTTTTAACGAATATGAGTGGAGGTCGGGGATCTCTTGGTATTGAAGCGGATTCCATCACTTCTTTATCATTCTGAAGCACCTGATAGGGGTTAGGGGTGAAAAACGGAGATTGTTTGGTTATCTCTTGTGAAGATGTACCTGGTTGATGCTGAAGTTCTTCAATTGTTGGTTTTGATGATGTTCCTGGCTGGGTTTCATTTTCTCTGGAGCTACTAGGCGTTACTGCAGGTGTTTGACGACATTGACGAGGCTTTTGTTTGACAGGCGAAGAACAAGGTGTTGAGCCTAACGGCCGAATTCTCTTGATAGACGCTCTACTAGACATGGCCTGATTGTGATATGAAAAAAAAAAATGAAAAAAAAATAAATAAAATAAAATAAAAATAACCCTATAATTTATAACAAACAATAAATATCAATTGTTGTTATGTACTCTTGACTTGTTTTGAATAAATAATCTCAAAGATTTCAGTGGAAAATAAGCAAATTCTGAGAGACGATGTAGAAACACGTCCTTTCGCATCAGCTAATCCACTGCCTTCAAGTATAAGTATGTCAATTAAAATAAATATTGTGTAAATATTTTCGTTATGCACCGATAGATGGTTTCCGATTCATTTTTATAGTTTGTATTGTAATAATTGTATCGTTCACAAGTTCCATTATTTATTACTTATTTCAATTGGTCATATTGTCGGCATCATTCGTTACTTTAACATGGTTCGGACGATATTATTGTGAAAGATAAATGTACAAAATTGCAAGTATATAATTCTAAAAAAAATGTTTGTTTATTGTTTAAAAATAATCCCTTAAACTAATGATATGTTCGTAATTTGGTCAATATAGTGCATTGGGTGTTACTTTATCAAAGACTGGATAAATAATATGAATACGCTAACAAAAAAAAACTTAAATTAATAAAAAATAATGGAAGTCACTCCAAGTTCAACATTTCTGCCTGTTAATACTTTCGGGGTGGCATATTGGGGAAACATCTGAGAACCATTTTTAGAGGTTTAGAAATATTTTAACAGGGATTATATAGTTTTTCAAGCAATTTACGAAATGGAATCGAAAAGTTTACAATTCTACTATTGCATCGAATAGTTACTATTTACAATTGTTAGAAGAATCGTAATAATTGTGTTTAAAAAAACTTGTTGTTGATCGGTCTTAGGACTCACTGGAAGTACCTGATTCTCTTTAGCACAGGCCATTAAATATAAGCAAGAAATACAAACAGCATTAATAATGTGAGGATTAGGTTAAAAATTTCTAGGAATGACGGAAAAACGATATTTGTTTGTCACCAATTATTTTGTGAAAAATCCTTCTTGATAATGATTACATAACAAAATAATGGGTATTTTATCCCCAAAGTTAAAATGATAGGTAATATGTTATACAGGAAAACAGATTCTTAAATATAAATAAATTAATGACTTTTTTTAATTAATGCATTTCGTTTATAAATCGTGTAAGTCATTTAATTCGGCCATTAGTATCTTTAAGTAAGCTTTACTTCTTTAACGACAAATTTTAAAACAATTTCCTGTTCATTAGCAATTGAAATAAGAAGAGTTGAATATTCTCACGAACAATGTTAAGGATAAAATTTGTTATAACTATGCTTAATGCAAGGTTTTCCCACATTTTCAATTATTGAGTTGAGAAAAACTTTTCCACAGCAGTTTACATTCAAAATCACAAGTGTTATGAACTAATAGTAGATTAGACCGAAATTTCGGTTGTTTCTGTTACGCATAGTGTTTTATTGCTTTCCGATTAGAACCATTCTTCAGAACTCTTAGAGAACACCTAGACAGAATATGTGCAATAGATAAAATTGGAAAATTGTAGCGGATATCAGAAAACATATTTAACAGATACCAAAATCAGTTTCGCCTTTTTTATAATTATCAGCAAAATATTTATACGGAAGGGTAAGTTACTTCATCTGATTGCAAAACAATGTTTAAATCATACTTTAGTGTGAAGTTATTAATATATATTGTATGCGTAATTGAAAAAAAAAATTAAAAAGTGGCCGACTAATCTAAGAGGTATTTCTAAATATAATTATTTATCCAGTCTCAAATTTGCTACGCCAATTTTCTTTAGTCTCTTCTTCAAAGCGTTGTTTTTAATTTCAAATTAATAGATATCGAACCTCGAAAAGCCAGTATAGGTTCGTCTCCATTTGCATTGCTTACACAATTATCCACAGGCGGATTTACGGGAGGGGATTTGGGGCTGAAGCCTCCCCCCAAATGGTAAAATGTAACCATGTTTTATGATAAAAAATATTTAATAAATTATGTCTTAAAGTATTATTGCTCTTTTAATTACATTTAATAGGACTTCAAGAATCACTGAAACACTATTTCATATAGGTAATTAGTATCTTTCTGTTTTTCTAAAGTAATTATCGTTATATATATGGAAAACAAAAGGCTTCTGGGCTGAAGCCCTCCCCCTAAAATTAAATCCTGGATCCGTTAGTGCAATTATCTATATTTATAGGTATATAATTTTTCGTTTAACAATAAAATGTTCGGAAGAATTCGTTTTCAATATGTAATCCCTCAATATTCGCAGATTTGATATTCCTGAGTCTTGATCATCAGCGAATACAAAATTGCGAACCAGTTCCACATTACCGAATTGTATATTTGACCCTTTATGATAAAAAAAAATATAACGAACTAACACGATTTCTTGTACAGTATATTTTTGTACATATTCTATTTAATACGTGTGTTTTCACTCTTAAAATTTAGGACGAAAATTTATTGAAAAATCCAGTTTTTTGTTTCTTAGATATAAAAAAAAACATACTTTTTTCAGTCAGTAAGAACAAAATTAATTTAAAGTTGGATATAAGAATATAAATGTAGTTTATTAATAATATGAAAAGAAAGCACATCCATACTTCAAATTTATCGACACCTACGTCTTACCAGTTCAAATCATGTGTATGCATTATGTAATTAAAAATAATGAAATGCAATAGTTAAAGATAATATCTATGATCTTGTCCTTTTTATCCTTCATAAAATGTATTTACAAACAATGACAGAATTCATAGATTCGAAATTTTCTTGATCTTTCTGGACGATAACGTTGGCGAATGAAAAGGAATTACAATACATATCGTAAATATATTGCAAACAGTTATTAAGTAACATTTCATAACTTTTAGGAACTAAATTTTAACTTTTAGGAATCAGAAAAACTGTGCATTAGTTGCAACAAACTATGTTTGGTAATTAAACGGATATAAGTATGTAACTATTTTATTGACACCAAGATGTAATTTTTATTTGAAATGTCATTTATATTCAAATTTATTAATAAAACATGACCAAACCGTATAAAGATTTATTTTCTTTTTTGGGAGTTTTGAGGTTTTCTGGTAAATTTTGTATACCTATGGCCCTGTGTAAAAACCTATAAGTTAATGTATGCAAATAGTGAAGTAAATACTTGTTAGTTATAGAAATTGTGTCGGTATATAAAAAACGTAATGAAATGCTTAATGAAAGGTGGTCAAGTAATATACAATGTGTGAAGCCTACAGACTACGATATCAAAAATGGTTATTGGATTTACTACCATTCAACCATATAATTATCAACAGGGATTGAGTGTGATTCATAAGCCATCTTAAGAATGCACGGAGGAGTGTAAATTACATGAGTTTACAATCGACTTCATACATAATAAAATATGCCGACCTTTTATACTTGATAAAAACTCCCGCCATTTTTTTTTTAATACATAGCCCCTCTCACCCAATAAAAACCGAAAGTATGCGCCTATGGATGTCCATGGCACTCGCATGAAATTGACAAAACAAGACCGTTTAAATTTTATAAGCCCCTAACGGGCGTCCTTTCAAATCGTCGCCCCATGGCGATTGCCGAGGTTGCCCCGTTTTAAGGCCGGCACGGATTTTATATTTATGTATATATATATTTTATTTTCGGATGACATTGATATATAATATCTTCAATATTCTCCGATTTACTCCAACTCTGGGTCAAATCGAAGCTGATTTCAAACTATGAGCGAATTATAAAATATAATTCTGCAGATCCGAAAACGAAAATATTTGGATGGAATGTTTAACAATGTTTAACATGGAATGTTTAACAATATTATTGAATAAAATATAAAAACTTATAATTCCTTAATACTATAAAATTAATGTAACCTCTCTTTCTATTTTTTAATTATCCAGCACATTTTACAATCATTCACTTTAATTATTAAACGGAATTTCATGAAATTGATAGTAGCTAATTTGTATACTTCAAATTTCTTCCAACTTTGGGTCAGATTAAACTAACTGTTTTCGAACTATAGACATGTCAAAATTAATACGTTTTCTGGCCCGAAAGGTGAAGTTTTTTTTTTATATATAAGAGATAGAAATTGATACCTACATGATCATTTCTTAACCATTCTCTAATTTCTCTCCAGCTTAGAGGCCAGTCGTTTTTGAGGTACTGGCATATTATGGAAAATGCGTGTGCAGATATTTATGAGGAAATATTAGATGGGATACAACAAATTAATACAGCTTCATTTTTTAGCAATACCATTATTTTAATTTTGAGCCAAATTGAACGAGCGGTTTCTGAAATATTGGCATATCTACGAAAATGCGTAAGCGAAAATATTGTATGCAATTTGAAGATATTCATATGAGGTTATCTAGGCATCAACTAACACCATCCCATGAATATTTATGAAAATTATATAAGAGATAATAGATGATATGCCCGTCACATCCATTACAGACATACAACAGAAAAACAGACTGATACCGAAACGAATTAGATGCTTGTCTGAAACGTAAAACGCAGTTGAAAATCTACTGCGCGAATAAAAATCTCCCCTACCTTCAGTAGTGAGGAAGCAAACATATAATTTAAATTATATATATTATTATGAGGGTTCTTGAAACAATTGCTAGTAGAGTAGTGAAATCAGTGGGGCACTGGCTTCCTTGTCTCAAGATCCCAACTACGAGAGGTAATTATTTATTCCACTACATAAGTAGAGCATCAACCCAATGATAAGGAGATCATCCTAAGAATACGGTCATAGTGAAATAATTAATTTTGAGTAAAACCTGGCGTTTGAGCTTAATCTTGCCCCGTAACCTCCCTGCACAACCTTTGGTCTTGAAACAGTACTTTCTTGAAAAGTGTTGAACACAAGACCCTTCATGGGTAGTAGTGGTACAGCTTTTTTGTTGTTTAATCTTTTTTTTTTTCTTAAAACGACTACATTTATGATTTTGATTTCCTCGTTATCAGAATCCAATCTTTAATTATTTAAAGATATGTTAAAATTACATTTTTTACTATAAAAATTAAATATAGTTTTTAGAAATATATCTTGGCTTTCTCTTAGACAGACGACTAACATGGAATCCACACACTAGACTTAAAAGACAGGAACTTAACAGACGATATGGCCTGCTATATAGACTACTGAATAGAAAATCTAAACTTTCTGGTGAAAACAAATTATACAATACTACAAGACAATACTGAAACCCATCTGGACTTACGGACTAGAACTATGGGGAACAGCTAAATTTTCTAACATCAAACGCATTCAATCCTTTCAGTCTAAAGTCCTCCGTACAATAGTCGATGCTCCCTTCTATGTAAACAAAAAAATCCTGCATAATGACCTTAAAATCCCATTTATTCTTGATCTTATCCCAGCCAAATTTTCCAAATTTCACCAGAACCTTTCTCATCACCCAAATTCCGTTGTACAATCCCTATCAAGCACCACCTATCCCTACAATCCCCTTCGTAGGTTAAAGCGGCAGTGGCCACGAGACCTTTTGTAAATATGGATATTTTGAAGTTCTAGCAATGGCCAGATTTTCCACTCAAGTCATGAGTGTCTGTGGCTGTAGCGCTCTTACTCATCCTCCGCTGGTTTTAAATACCAGTGAAGTGGCTGAGGAAGAAGCGTAGAGATCTCCTAACCCTCCCTTTTTCCTCCACATGTGGGGGGACAAGATTGGTTCAGAGATCACCTGGCTAATTGTAAATAATGTATATAGGTATGTTTTATCTAAGATGTTTGTTTTACTTTTATTTCTATTTTTACTTACTTATGTGTATATATATATATTTTTTTTTCTTTTCTCTTTTGTTCTTTTTTATTATTCTTTTATTATTCTTTTGTTATTACTTTATTTATTTATATTCTATATATACGGTATGAATGTACTCTCTGAACTCTATTATAAGTGTCCTTAACTGTGACAAATTGTAATATTTCTCAATAAAATGTTTAATATATAGAAATATATATTTCAAAACATCATCCTCTTTTGGCTTAGGTGTCGGTAATCAAGGATTGGAGCTTCAACTTGATCTTGGAAAATTCTTTTTACACCAATCTCTGATAGGAAAATGAAGAACCGAAACTTTTTCACGGTAAGTGGAACATTAATATCTTGAACTCAACTACAGAGAGTATGTACGTTATATTTTTACATCATTTTGTCAAACATTACTTAATGATATTTTGCAATAAACCAACGATATGTAATAATCGAGTCAGTTGACATCGACCAGTCTTTTGAAAAATAAAAGTTTACTTAAGCCAGTTTGGCTTAGATTTAAGTTGGAAAATATAAAGATTCATATTGTTTAAACTTGCTCCTCAGATTTTCTTTAAATCTATAAAATATATAAGTTTGTTGTTTTCCACATTCTATTTATTCTTTACACATCAGTTTTAACATTATTACACAAGTATCTAAGTGTCTGTCGTTTGACATGAAAATGTTAGCACCGGTAATTACCATAAATATTTAAATTTTGTAAAAATATATTTTAAATTATGTCTTGAATTAAATATGAAGGATACTATCCCAATAAAATATTGATCCCAAACTATTGAAATGGAGTTCGGACCGTCTAAAGTAATTTTTGTTAATGAATATTTATAAAAATAATATATATTTTTTTAAAATAAGACACAAAATCGTTGGAATTTAAATAATAGTTGCTTCGTTAAAGGCTAGTTATTGAAATATTAGGACGCATAGATTTAGTTTTATGTAGATAAATACCTTAAATATTTTTATCCATGTTAAATATTTTATTTGTTTCAGATCTGGAGCAGGAATAAGGTCTATGAAATCCAAAAAAAGAACATGTAAATTATTTTAGTTCACTATCTTATAAAAAAAATATTGTTCCATTAAAAAAAAAGTAAATTTTTTACAGAAGTCTTTCAAATATTGTTTCAGAAAGAAAAGTTCAGGCAAATTAAAGACTGTTTTAAAAATGGTAAGTGCGGCCTTTTTGAAGGCTCAGGTTTGAATCCGGGTGAGTTAAAATGTATTTCGTGGCTGACCCAAGGAATGAACTTTCCCATTCTAGTTAGAATAGATTCGGTTGTATAAGGGATGTGACGGTACTGATGGAGCCTGTGAGCCTGGGGTCACAGAATCCCAGTTTAGAGCAGTGACAACCTGTGCCACTCCCTTGGAGATTACCGGTCCAGTGACACTGACAAAAGTCAATATTAATAACACTGCTCTACATTTATATGGTATCTCACTTGAAAACAGCCTCATCCAATGTTTTTTGGTGTGAGAAATTCGAATTTTTACAAACAAATCATCAGTTAGATCTAGTTTCAAAGATATAGTAACTTTTTGTGTAATTGGGGGAATTCCCTACTCCTGGGTTGGTAGGATTGATTTTTGTCTGTGAATCGCGGAAAACGACTAGCTGTGAATAACAGAACCATTTTTCTAACAGTTTTGTGCAGTATTTACATTTCAAGTTATTCTTGTTGTGAATTTTCTTGTTTCAAGCATTTTGTCGTGATAATCCAGTAATAATTGGCCAATACTAATCACACTGACAACTGCTACTTTTTCATGACCCCACATCTTCATCATGGAATGTATCGAAAAAATAAATCTGAAGCGAAGTACCGTGACATTCTTTCTGCTATTCGGCCAATGCCACACGGGGACGAATTGTCTGTCCAAGACCTCCTGAACATTATGACTTGAATAAGGACGAGGATCGCGAAGAGGAATATCCTCTAGGAGGAACTCCATCAGATGATTCTGAATTTTCTTTCGAACAAGAAGAACGAAAACTCTACTTATCCCTCAAGGCAGTTCTGTTGCAAAATGCCAAATTTAGTTAACTCTATCCCTTTTGGTCATGCTTTTCACTTGAAGGAAGATTACCAAAACATGGAAACCCTTCTAAAATCCACCAAATACCAGAACTACCAATGACAAATCCGTGGAAATCTGAAAGTGGTGGCCATTGTTCTAGGCATTCAACAGGGATATACTAAGTACTGATGTTTATTATGTGAGTGGAATAGTCGGATCTCATTACATGAGGAAAGAATGTACTTTCTTGTTACATAATCAACATATCAACACGTAATGTGAGAATGTGTTGTGAATAAAATATTCATTTGACTATTTCTTATAATTACAGAATGACAAATATAGTTAAATACTAAACTGGAAAAAACATATGCAACCAAATAATATTTGTCATCAATTTTTTATGATAATTAAAAGAGACGACTTGACACCTGGACAAAAAAATGTTCTCTACAACCTTCTTGTGGGTCCTGAAAAAATCATTTTGTCGCCACTACACATAAAGTTAGGGCTCATGAAAAATTTTGTCAAAGAAATGGACCAATCAGGAGAGGCATTCAAGAACAAGAGGACAATCAAGCTGTTTTAGTTCCTGCTGGAAAAATACAGAAATATCGGTCGTAATATGTCACTCAAGAATTGTGGATTTGTAAGTGACGAACATGGTGAACGATTTCATCAAGATATATCCTCGATGGAAGGAAGATATCAAGATCGGTGGGATACTTCAATGTTCGCAGATTACTGTTGGAACGTTGTGAGGGATTTGCCAGAACATCAGTTTAATCGTCAAGCAAAGGAGAAACGTTCTAAATAAACTGTACAACAGTGTTGTTCTAGCCGAAAGTTCTAGCACAATTTTCTGTGTTTTTTAATGAGTTGATGCACAAGAAGACTGTTGGTTAATAAATATAATATATAACACATTAATATATTAATAAATTAAGTAAGGAAATGGAGATGAAGACTTTTGTCACTGTCACTGGACATTCATATTTGTCACTGATCCTATAGTTTCACTGGAGCAGTTGGAGCAGTGACAGATTTTTCTAATACTATAATAATTATGATTTTTTGAATTTAGTGATCTCCTACACATTTCTAGTCCTAATAAGTGGTTCTTGTAGTTCCACTACACGAATAAAAAAGACGCTGCCCTCCTGGTCATGAGTTCATCAGCTGCTGTTGTTAATGGCATCATACCAATACTCTATTCCTGGATACTTATATCAGCGATTCTAGATTTGTTCATTAAAATAGAAACCGAGGGGAACGTGAGTATGATAATAGTTTTTCTGAGCTAATTCAAAAGTTAATTATTTTAAGCTGTAGTTATAATTTTGTTTGATTTACAGCCATATAACATCTCCATGGCTGAAATGAATTCCCAGATCACCAGTATTGCCTATCACTTTTTCGAAATTGGTGCGATTAATTTTGTTAGCGGCTTCATTCAGGTAGGTATCACTTTAATTTTATTTATTTGGCAATACATAGTATAGTCCTAGCTCTGTTACCATAGCTCCTTTCACTACGATTCATTGCTGGTCTTAGGACAGAGCAAACCATGCATATGTCCAGGAATTGAAAAAAAATGAAAATGATGAATAAAGAGCGACAACTAGAGAATTTAATTTAAGTAACCAATCTTTGCTCCATAGTAAAAATATTACAAAGCGTACGAGTTTAGTAAACTAGAAAAAAATTCTTAAGCTGAAAAGAAAGCTTGACATTGTCACTCAAAGACGACTTTTGAGCGAATAAACTTGGCTAAGTTCGGTTTTGAAAAAAATTATAAATTACACTGCCCTACAAACAAATTTTTTTGCATGTATCTTCGATAAAAACTGTTGAATAACTTTGATTTGAACTCTTAATTTGATCTCTTGAATAATTTTGATGTGAGAAATTCGAATTTTCGGTGAGCATCCTTATACTAGCTACCGTTCTACAGATACGTATACCCAGTATCGAATACAAAAAATTAAGTTATTAGTAATTACACGATAATTTTGTAAGCTTTAGTGCTTTATTATTTGTGAAATACTTTTACATCCCACAAAACATTAAACTACAACTTCTCTCGACGATAGCAGCGCTGTTGTACAGTTTATTTTGAACGTTTCTTATTTGCATGGTGATTTGTACTCATGTTCTGGCAAATCTCTCACAGCGTTCCAACATTAGTTTGAGAACATTGCAATATTCTAGCGATCTTGATATCTTCGTTCCATCGAGGATGTATCTTGATGAAATCGCTCACCATGTTCGTAACTTACAGATCCACAACCGAGATCTCTGTATTTTTCCACGAGGGTTTGAACTAAGACAGCATAATTTTTCTCTCTTTTGTTACCCAAGAAACCATTAAGTAAAGCTGTAAATGCTTCTCAGGCTGCTCTTTCTTTACTCTGAAGAATATTCCAAAACTCCCTGTCATTAAGAAGCTCACGGATTTGTGGACCAACAAATACACCCTCTTTAATCTTAACTTCACTTAAGCGAAGAAAATTCCCTTCTCATGTACTTGAATGCCTCACCTGATTGGTCCATTCCTTTGAAAAAAAAATTCATAAGCCCTAACTTTATATGTAGACAAAATGATTTTTTCAGGGCCCACAACAGGGTTATAGAGAAAAATTTTATGTCTAGTGGTCAGGACTTTTTTTGAGACCATTCTTTCCTGATGTAATGATATGCTCTGTCCCGACTGTCCCACTCACATAAGAAACAACAGTACTTAGTATATTCCTGTTGCATGCCTAGAAGAATTACCACCATTTTCAGGTTTCCGCAGATTTGCTATTGGTAGTCCTGGTATTTGATGAATTTTAGTTTATGAAGTTTTCGTCATGTGGACAGCATGACCAATAGGGCCGATAATGAATATTTTCTTCCAAATTTACAGTGCAGTAGCAAACACAATTCTAAGCTAGTTTCAACAAGAGTTAACAGTTGTTGAATTTCAATTTGAAGTCACATTTCGCTAGCTATTCGGCTTATGTTTGCAAAAATATCGAGGAACGTTGCTATGAATGTACATGCAAACGTTAAGGCCATCGTGTAGCACCTCCTGAAGGCAATACGGGTATTCGGTGCACTAGGATGTTATAGCTGTTAGCTTATAACTGTTTAAAGCAAACCACTCTTGCTTTATTACAGCCATAACTATAAATATAAGCAGTACTTATAATGATTTATATTATTATGACATATTGTTCGATTTTGCAGATTTGGGCTTCGGAAAAAGCTTCCCGTAGCATAATGACCAAAATAAGAACTGACTATCTGTCAAAGATGCTGTTCATAGACATTAAATGGTATGACGAATCCAATGAGCAGTTCATAAGTATTGTATCACAGTAAGTTTCTGTTTTTATATATTACAATAATCAATCCTCAAAACTTCTTTAATTTAATTTTTTATTCATGTTTCTCATTAAAATATTGCCATTCATCAAATAACCAGGTTAGGAAAGAGTATCCAACCTTTTTCTATCTGAGGTCTCATTAATAGATTAATTGTTGCTCGGCGAGCACCAATTTGTTATGTTTTTTTTTTCTAAATTTCTGAATGTTTGAGATTGTTAATAATAAAAAAGAATCTTAATTTTAACACAACTTATTGTTTTTGTCATATAAAATAAATGATTATTTAATAATACATTAAAAGTGAGTATAAAAATGAAATTTCTCCCCATCTTACAAATAGCTTCAAGAGGAATTCATTTAGTTTCATTCCAGCTACAGTTTCAGCAATCAGCCCGAATAACTGCTTTACACCGCCGCACAGTGGGCTGAGCGAACGGTCTATACTTGGATGGAAAATGTACTCTTCGTCCAGATCTAGTATTTTGAGGTGCTGATGGCGGTTGAGGAATTAGATTATTAGAAGCTCATGGAGTGATGACAGCTATTGTTGCGGTATCGTTGGATGTTTTTGTTTGAAGGTGGAGAATTCTCAAGGGGTCTACCGGCTTAAGTCGATTTATGGTCTTATGGTTATGAGGTGGCGAATCAACAAAATGTTTCTCATCCCTTGAAATTACGGTAAACTGTCCATCATAGGGCTGCAATGCTTTCTTAGATGAATCACGACATACAAAGACATGGGTACTTGTAGATAAATCCCGATGGATAATACTTGATTTTGTCAAACAACTCTAAACAAAGAAGTGACAGTAAAAAGTTTAGGTTTTTTTATAGCCTTAAAATAAAAATGTCCAACAGACAGATTGTTGTAATACTCAATAAAGAAATTAAAAAAAATAAAATAAAATAAAAATTTTACAGAAGTGTGTAATAACGAAACATTACAAAATTAGCATAAATAATAAGTCGAATTGAAATAAAATTACTCAATACAAATATTATATTATTAAAAAATTACAATATATTCAGCAATCGATCTAAGGTCTGTGAAATCACCTAAGACGACCTTACCACCAGGTCATCCCCAAGAAACGTCTAATAAATTTGATATTATTGTTTTTTTTTAACAAAGTTCTCAATGCGAGAACGAAAAACAAACACCTAGTGAAAATCATCTGTTTAATAAATGACACTAACCATTTCTTAGACCAGGGATCCCCAAACTATTGCCCGCGGGCTCCATCCGGTCCGCAAAAGTTTCTTTGATTCCCGGAAAAATTTTAAAAATATAAAATTTAGCAAATCATTCACACAAGAGGTTCCTACAATATTTATTGCATGGGTTTTTTCTCTTGGTAAAATTATCTCACAGCTGAAGTGTCATCTATAGAGAAAGATTGTTTTCTTCATCACAAGCCGTCTCCTGCGGGACTTAAGTGACTCACAATATTTCTTTCTCATCTGGAGAATTCATTAGATGTTTTGTCTTGATGGTTGAATTTGGAATTGGTGCTCTTAAAACTACTAATTGCTGCTGAAAGTGCTGTTTCCATCATTCCAGATTTTTTTTTAGTAATGTACTCCCATCTTTTCTGTTGTAGGCATTCAACCTCGACTTAAAATGTTTTTTTTCTAGATTCACTTTCTTGTAGAAACTGCGAGAGTCTGAGATTTTTCAATTGCTCTAAACCTCTGCAAGTTCAGAATTCTTTACTCTATTTCAGGCGACGAGTGCGTTTTTCTTTCCTTTTTAAATCATATTATGATGCCGTCGTTCTCCTGTTGCGGCGGTTAATCATACGTTTATAAGGTTCGTTGGGCTTTCAGTAAAAAATCTTACTGACTGAAATATACAAAAAAATTGACTGAACACCCCAACCAACTTCTCCTCAATTGCTCACTACGGTCAACCATCAATCCACTTTTATGGGTTTCGTTTTGGGAGACATGATTTCTCATGGCGTAAAATTTTTACAAGACTCGAGGCAAATCTCAGATTGTTTTTTTTATTTTCAGCTTCTTATATAGTATAATAAATTGTAAAACAAATTTGACTTAAAACTTATTAAACAAAGAATTTTTTCTGATAGCGGAAGATCTTAATAGCAGATTAAAACATTATAGATTAATTGGTGGTTATATCTGTGCCCCGGAGGTAAACAACACCATGTCCATTTTTTATTAAGTAATTTAGTAACTAAGAAATAAATTTTAATTGTACAATATTTTGGAAAACGGGCTTCCTGAAATATAAAAATGGACCTGCTGTTGTATACCTCCGAGTATGAAAAAATCAAAACCTAGTGTAAATTACATGTTAAAGGTTAATTTAAAATATTCTTTTTGGCGGGAATTGTGAATAGCCTTCCGCTTTTATCGGGGGACAAGGTTATTTACACTCGTGAATATTAAAACAAAACCCCGCGGTTCTGGATATAGACTTTTTGAGGGTGTTTAACTGTTGTTGGGAATTCCGGAATCTAATAGCTTTTTGTGACACTGAGTGAGAAGAAACAATAAGAATATATATATGAAATGTTGGACTGATTAAATACACTTTGAATGAATCGACTCACCTGGTTTGTTATTCTTCAATTGTGAGGCATATAGGACAACTAAATAAAATGACTTTTCACTCCTGTATAATGAAATAATTTATTTCTACAACTGTAATAAATTGATTCTATTAAAGTGTTATAACTATAGACTTGATATTCTAAACCTTGTAGTAGACTTCTCTTCTAAGGTAACGTCCGCCACAATGTCTCAGCCTCTCGCCTTCGTGTCCCAGCCTCAAGTGCCTTCTTCTCTCCTTGCGTCCTTCTCCAGCTGTTGCTACCTGCTCCGTCCTTTTCCTTTTTTCTTCTTTATCGATTGTTTATCGATATGAGACTTTTCAATGAGTACAATTCATCGTGCAACCTCACATTTCTATATATTCCTTCTCATTCCCTCAAACAATGTCACATAAAGGAGTAAATACAGGAGGCTATCTACTACACTAGTACAGTTTTTTCGTGCTTAAAAGGACTCTTAAAATGGTTGTTGCAAAGATGAAATAACAGAATAACAATAAATACCAACAGAATAACAGCTATATTTTGTTAGAAAGTAATTTATTAACCAATTAAGAGAATGGATTTGGGTACTATTAATATGTTATTACATAATGAGGTGAACTGTTTTGAATAATTTTACAAACTGATCTAATTGGTTGAGTTTGTAGCAAACACGAGTTCATATATGTAATTATAATAATTGGGGTATTTTAATTTTTAAACATTTTAATAATAAATTTACTAAACGCTATTGTGATCATACATCCCACTTTCTCGTAATTGCTTGAATTGAATTTCTAGTTTCTAAAAATATTAGGATTAAGGATAAATGATTTTAAGAGACATACGAGCTTATGATTAAGACTGAGTTTAAACATTTCTTTTTGACATTTATTGCAGCGATTTACAGAAGATGATGTTTTTATTGGACAGTAAGATGGCATCTTTCATAGAAATATTGTCATATTTCCTTTTTGGATGTTTAGCTTCTTTCATTGTTTCTTGGGAGGTGACAATTCTGATCCATATACTAATAATGGCTACTATGGTGGTAGTATATTTTTTGATACAAGTAAGTTTCAATAAAGTTTAATGTTTTTGCTATGTAGAATATAAATATTTCTTACATGCTACCTTATAGGTGTACTTCTTTAGTATAAACAATCATTTTATAATCGACTTGTTGATATTTAATCTGTAAGTATGCGGCGTGTATTGTGTTATTTATTTTGTATTATTTAAATAAATTTAAAAATACAGAACAGAAACATAACGAAACAGTTATTTTAATTGAAATTCGGAAACCATAGCCCTTTGATGATACCTTCCCTATATGAATTTTTTTCGCTTATCTTCGAACTGTTATTTGAATTGATTATTATTGAATCCATTCAACAGTCTATTCTTATTTCATTTTAACAATTATCATAAGAAAAATATCCATTTAAATTTCAGTGATACTCATACCATATAATTACTGTATTACTGTTTCCAGCTAGCAAAAAAGAAGGGAATTATACGACAAGAGGTCAGTGAAAAATGTACAAAAATTGCATCTGAAGTACTAACGAATACCCGAACAGTCGTTGCATATGGAGGTGAATATAAAGAAATTGAAAGGTACTACGATTTTATATGTTAACTTAGGTAATAAAGTATACATGTTTAATATTAAGAAAGATTTCCTTTTTTTTAATAATGAGTTTAGAAAATATTATACGAACTATAATACCTTCATATTATTTAATAGCCTTGAGGTTTAGCTGAAAATGATTTTCTAGCTGCATACAGCATCAACAAGACATTTTTAATTTATTCGTGATATTTACAACAATATTAAGAAAAAAAAATACATCTAGTAAATGTGAACAATGAAAATAGTGACATGATAACACTTGTTTAGAAACTACCCACTGGTAGCTCTCTAATAATATACTTACGTTAGAAGTTCACGGGACAATCTTATTTTCAGACGCCTCGGTGGCTTATCAGGAATTTAAAAGGAAGCAAAATTAGAAACAAGAGGATTGGGATGGTTCTAAAGTTTACTATGGGAGGATTTGGCCAGATCCGAAACATAAGGAATATTAAGGTCGTTATGATTTTATATGTATCAAAGTAAGGTGGCACTGAGGATTTCTCGAAGTATTTTGGATTGGATACGAGAGGAATTCGATAGTTTAGTGGACCCCACAGCTCAAATCCGAAGTCCAAATAGAGTCTTTTGTAGTTAATTGGAAGCGTAGAATGTTTGTCTGGTAAGTGCTGAATTAGTTGAAAACGTCGAGCAGTTTCTTGTCGTTTTAGTCTGGTATGAATAAGACATTTAGTACCATTTATACCGCATGGGGGCATAAAACTACAGAGAGCAAACTTAATTTATTTGATAGTGTGAATGTGTTCATAGATCACTATAATTATTGTCCACTTGACAGATTATTGTATTTCTTTTTTTTTTTTTTTATTTATATGATATTTACAACTGTATACAAAAAATACATCTGGTAAATTCGCACATGGATATAAAGACATGAAACACATGTTGAGAAACTACCCATTGGTAGCACTCTAATAATATGTCTATATTAGGAGATCACGTGGCCATCTTCTTATCAGACGCCTCGGAGGATTATCAGGAATTGAATAGGAAGCAAGGCTAGAAACAAGAGGGTTGGGATGGTTATGAAGTTTGTTATGGAAGGACAGATATCTGGATTGGGCCAAATCTGATACATAAGGAACATTAAGGTCATTATGGATTATTTTATTTGTAACAAAGTAAGGAGCATTGAGGATTTTACGAAGGATTTTGGATGTTAAGGATTGGATGCGAGAGGAATTTGAAGGTTTGGTGGAGTCCCATAGGTCAACTCCGTAAGTCCAAATAGGCCTTATTATAGTCATGTAAATTAGTCTTTTATAGTTAATTGGAAGGTTAGAGCGTTTGTCTAGTAAGTGTTGAAGTAGTCGGAAACGTCGAGCTGTTTCTTGTCGTTTCAGTCTGGTATGAGGATTCCAAGTTAGACGTTTGTCCAGATGGAGTCCTAGGTGATTTGTTCAACAGGAATAAGTGAGATGTTGTTAAATGATACTGAAGGACAGGAAGTCATTGGTTTACGACGAAGGGTGAAGGTAATTTGATGGGATTTATTGGAATTTATTTTAATTCTCCAGTTCTGACACCATTCTTCAAGGTTTTTGATCTGGGATTGAAGGGTTTGGGATGCAATAGATGGGTCGTTATTAACTGATAGGATACATGTGTCATCAGCATATGTGGTGATGACAGTGGGATGTGTTGGGATGTCAGCTGTATAAACTATGTAAAGGATAGGACCAAGGATACTACCTTGAGGAACTCCGGCAGATTGAGAAAAGAGGGATGAATAGGTATTATTGTGATTTACTTTGAAGTGTCTATCAGTAAGTGTTCAACATCGAGAAAGACTCCCGTACAGTACATTCCGCGCTCCAATGCAGAGGAGACTACGTCTACCACACGATGACATTGCTGTATAGTGGAATCCAAGTTGGTGATCTGGGATTATGTGATTAGAATTTAGGATGGGGTACAGGCGTTTTAAGATTAGTTTTTTCAGGATTTTCTCCATGATGGGTAAAAGAGAGATGGGGCGGTAAGATTTATTTATTTATTTATACATATTTTGGGCTCTTCAACCACTTGGGTCATTTTCGCCCTATATTACAATTTGATGAATTACTACACACATAACTCAACTATAGCTAAGAAATACAATTTAAAGTTTGAAAAGTTAAGAATAATTACAGATGATTATGATAGTAAAATTAAACTAAGATTATAAAAATTGAAACTTAAAGATTTAATAAGATGAGATAACAGAGACAATAAAGATTAATGATATTAAGAATAAAAGCTAAAAAATACATTTTTCAATAATAAAAATTAATACTAATAGAGGTGAAGTCAAAGACATGGGGAACATTCACTAATGGTAACTTTCACCATTTTTCGAAACTTCCTACAGTTTTCTCAACTCAGTGTTGCCACCGGTCATAGTTCGCAGCTCCAATCCTCCAATATAGGCCCCCCCCCTCACACCTACCTTCGGAGTTAGCCTCAACATTGCTAACATGTCTTAATAATGCTTATGTTGCACCAATTTACGTTTTATAAAAAATAATTATGTCTCCGAACCATTATAATAACATCATATTTTATTTAGGTACAAGAATACATTGAACTTGGCCTATAAGCATGGATTAAAACAAGCTACAGTGGTATCGTTGATGAAAGCATCCAACTATTTAATACTATGCGTTTCCTACATGCTGATCTATTACCTCTCTGTAAGGTTATTCCTTATTGATGATTTTATGCCTGGATACATAGTCCTTGTAAGTAAATTAAATAATTTTATACTTTTAAAATTGTTTTCCTTTTCAAAGCACAAGTTGAATAATTAGGATTTCGAAAAAGACAAGGGGGCCTAAAATCCCTTTTGAGGCGCAAGTTGCGCTATACTTTATATACGTATATATAGGTTGTCTCAGATCGCAATGGACAAACTCCTGAGGGTGTTTTTAAACAGTTCATTTGATGCATGGTCCGATTTCGGATGGAAAAAAAGTTGACACCAATTTTAGGTTTAGCTGAAAGTAGTCACGGTTTTTATTAAGTAAGAAAATATTGCTCAAAACTATTCAAGATAATTAAATTCTAATTGCGCCATCGTAAAGTAGACAGAGAAACTGTAATTAAGTTGACTGAGGCCAATGATAATAGGGATTTTCACAATGTCTAATACGACCGCTATATGCTATAGTTACAGTACACATATACGAGCAGCATATCTCTGTACAGCGGCCATATTAGACCTCCTGAAAGTTCCTTTTATCATTGACCTTAGTATGTTTAATCACTGTTTTCTAAACAAAAAAAATTGTCTGTCATGCCTTTTTTGTAAAAAATTTGTTTGTCATACAGCAAATGAACTTTTTTGTGGGGAATTTTGTTTAGAATCACCCCCTAGAGTTTGCCCATTAAGAACTAAGACATCCTTTATGGTAAATAATACATACTTTAAATATATATTTTCAATTTCATGAGCCTTTTCGTTTATAAGCTTGGCTGTTCACGTACACACAAATACAGACACACAACACACGAAGAATTGGTAGAATTTGAACTCAAGGGACTTCAAACCATGTATCTCCGTTAAAAATTCAGATTTGAAATTATTCACGATGGCAATACTTTCCCTTACTATATACCACATATACCTTATATTAACAATATATATATATATATATATATATATATATATATATATATATATATATATATATATATACATATTAAGGCCCGATATAAACTTTGAAAAAATTTGATTACTGAAAATAAGAAACAAAAAGGAAAAATGTTTTATCAGGTTGAAAATTAATGTATATGAACGTATACTTAACATATCGTTGGAAAGCTGAGGATTTTTAGAAAAAAACAATATATCTAAAATATCATGGGTGATATTTAACAGTCGATTAACTTCCTTCAATAATTCATCTATATAAAATACATAGTTATAGAAGACAATAATAAAGATGAGTAACGAAAAAAAATTATAAATTGTATTTAACTAACTAAATATAAAAAAAAAAAAAAAATAAAATAACCTGTACCACTACAACCCATAAAGGGTCTGGGTCTGTCTGAGGTTCAGTACTATTTAGGGAAAGCACTGTTTCTAGGTCATCGGTTGTGCAAGGAGATGATCTGACCGAGATCACGCTCAACCGCCAGGTTTTCTCCCTTAATTAATTATTTAATTAAGGGTACCCACTTTATAGAGGCTGGGTGTGCTCTAGGAGGGTCTTCCGACCCAGGGTCACCCCACGACCAATGAAACAGATAAATAAATTTTCTGCCATGAGCCGGGGTTCGAACCTGGGACCATTGCATTGGAAGCTCAGTGCCCTACCACTGAGCTACCCCACTCCCGACTAAATATAATGGCCTAACTAAATGTAAAATTTTATAATTAGTTTTAAAATAGCTATAAGATAAAATCAGTACATCAAATTTGCAAGATGAGCTACAGCTCGCTTCAACCCAGTTGGATATAGAGTAGAATACTAAAATAAAAAATCAGAATGTGTGCCTAAGACCACAAGATAGAAGCCAAAACATCAACAAAGCGGGAGTAATAATATGAATTAGAAAGAGGATGAAACACTAAAAAATTTCCTCGTTTAAGTTATGGGGGTCCAAATATATGTTTTGGAGATATTTTCATATTTTAAATAATACTTCATTATAAGGAGGATACAATGCTGAACATTTCCCTCGCTTACTGCATGCAGGTCTGATTTATTTTCTGAAATATTTCAGTCGAAATCTAAAAACAATTCGATGGTTTTTTTTCAGTTGCGACTCGAACCGACTTTACCCGAATGCGCATTTCTTACTCGAATGTGACGGCCCAGTCTCATTTACTACTCACACAAAAAGTACAAAGCGCGCCTAAACAAGTTTTAACTTCAAAATCTATCTACATTGACTTTCGCGAATTGGTGTCTGGATTCTCCACGTTATTTAAATTTTGAGATATTTTGGTCCAAATGTTCACAACAGTGGTTATTACTTGGTTTATTGGCGCTATCTTTTACCATTTTCGACTATTTACCCCGGCGTCACGTCGAAATACAATTTTGGAATATATTTCATTAGAAAGAGAATGAAATGCTGAAAATTTCCTTCGCTTACATTATGCAGGTCAGAATTTTAGTTTTTGAGTTTTTTTAGTCAAAATGTTCAACAAAACTCATTATCATTTGGTTTTCGAAAATATCTTTTTGCCTCCATTAAATTGATTTTTAGCTCCTTTAAAAATACACTTCGAAAAATTTTGTTCGAAAAATTAGCGCAATTTCGCCAGTCAATAATGTCTGTTCAAAGTAGAGAGGTGAGTGAAAGTTGTTTGATGTGCGCACCATTTAGTTTTTCTGTAATTGGAGCTTTTGTTTTTCCACACAAATTTGAGTTGTTATTCAATTACTTAGGTGTACTTGGTCATCTAGGCACACGGGCGGAACTACGGGCGGGAGGGCTTTCGAGCTGAAGCCTCCCCCAAAAAAATGGTAAAATATAACCATGTTTTATCGAAAAAAATTATCTCTCAAAGTATTATTGTTCGTGTAATTACATTTAAAAGGGATTTAGGAATCACTTAAACACCATTTCATATAGGTAGTTAGTTTATTTTTTTTTCCAAAGTAATTATAGTTATTTTTATGAAAAAAAAAGCTTTCAGGCTGAAGCCCCCCAAAATTAAATCCTGGATCCGCCAGTGAATACAGCATACGGATTAATCCATTTGGACATAATTTATACGTTACGTTATTCTATCACTATATATATATATATATATATATATATATATATATATCTTTCCTTCTTTTCCTTCCTCATTATAATAATACTCTTATGAAATATAAACTAATAACTACACCAAGTCCAACAAACTACACTGAGCCACGGGCGGATCTACGGGGGAAGGGAGGGGGGGAGGGCTTTCGGGCTAAAGTCCCCTCCAAAATTTTAACATATAACCATGTTTTATGGTAAAATATATAAAACAATTATCACTTAAAGTATTATTGTTCCTGTAATTAGATTTAAAAGGACTTAATGAATCACTTAAACACCATTTCATACAGTTAGCTAGTTTCTTAATTTTTTTCCAAAGTAATTATCGTCATCTTTATGAAAAAAAAAGTTTTCGGACTGAAACCCCCCGCCAAAATTAAATGATGGATCCGCTGGTGTCTATGCGTCTAGTTTACGAATCCGCTATTTATAATCCAAATTTGTTTCGTCAGCTACAATATTAGCTTTTTAATAATACTGTTAATAGAAAAAACATTTAAGGCTGTCATAGTCATTATGCCTTTACCTTAGCTTAACTATCAATCTTAAACTAATTTCCTGTTGATTAATACTATTCTTTAATTTCTAGCTTTCAACACAAATTATGATTATTCTACAATCTACATTCATGTTGAGTACCGTTTCCGATCTCTTCGTGGCAACAGATTCGGCTTACAAAGTGATGCAATTCCTCGAAACTAAAACCAGCTATAGCGAATCTCTCGAAAAAGGTGTTATACCAAACACATTTGAAGGCAATGTATCTTTTAGAAACGTACATTTTTCCTATCCTACAAATATACATACTAAGGTATATGTTTTACTTTGCATGAAACTATAGATAGAATTATTTTTTTTCAATTTAATTTAAGAAAATCAATATACTTCAATTTCAAAATATAGGTTCTAAATGATTTTACATTGGATATCGAATCTGGCAAAATCACGGGCGTTGTTGGAACTAGTGGTGCTGGTAAAAGTACTATTGTAAGCCTTGCAACTCGCCTTTATGACATAAGTGGAGGAAAGGTCAGTTACAAAATATTTTAAGCTGGGAAAACGAAAATTATAAGATAAAAGTATTTCATCGAAGCAGTTATCCGGTACTTTTTCAACAGATTCTTGTAGAAGGAGTGGACATCAATGAACTTAATATCAATTGGCTGAGGGATCAAATAGGTGTTGTTGGACAGGAGCCTGTGCTCTTCGATACCTCTATAGAGGAGAACATCAGGTACGGAAAAACTACTGCGACTTTGGAAGAGGTCATCGAAGCAGCTAAAGTTTCTCATGCTCATGATTTTATAGAGAAGTTACCATCGGTAAGTATGACATTAGAATTGAGAAATGCAATATATTTTAAATATATTATTAAAAATGCAGTCCGTCCAACGTTCAAGACATGATCGTACCGCAGGAAGCGAATTACACTGAAAAATGTTCTTTAATCGATTTAGTACCTATTTTATAAATTTACATTGGAAAAATATTTCTAAATTAAAGTGGATAATTAATAAATATTGAAATTGGATAATGGTATAATATTATTATTATTTTTATTTTATTTTTTTGGTTTATTGATAAATATTACAATCTGTCTCAATAAAGGACATTTATAATAGAGTTCTGAGAGCACATTCACACCATATTTACAAATTTAAAAAAAATAAATAAAAAATAAGCTAACTTCAAATAATATAAAGCTACAAAAGAACAAAATAAAATATCATAGTGAGAAAAAAAAAAAAATGAAAATAAACATCTTAGACGCAGGCATACCTATTACACTAGGTATAATATTAAATAGATCTTATTGAACTATCATAAATTATGTGTAATTATAATTTACTTACATTGAATTCATTATTATAAATCTAACTTGGATTAATATGTTACTTTATTGTCATCGAACAAAAAATTCAAAAACTCCCTCTCAAAATTTGAGGTTTTACGTTTCAGGATACGTAGAAATTAGTGTTGCCCAAAATCGGTCTTGGTATTATTCTTTGCAAGACCAAGACCAAGGCCGCCTAACTGTTGCAAGACCAAGACCAGGACAGGTAAAAAAAAAATCGATTTTTTAAATAAAATTAAGACAAAATAGTTACTAATACTTGACAATCTTAGCTACTATGTGTTAATAATTGCTATAACCAATATACTTTTGCATTTAACTCCTCTAATTCATCATTAGGGTTTAGTTAGGTTTCTCCTATCTAAAAAATTACACTATCTCTATAGTAATAAGCCAATAAGAAACCGCAAGACTGTTGCGAGTCTCTTGCGCAAGACGAAGACCATGACCAAGACTGAGTTTGCAAGACCAAGACTCGTCTCAGTCTCCCATTTGGGCAACACTAGTAGAAATCGAATAATGAATAAAACATTTTTTGTTCGTTCGCTGTATGATGTCCGCCGACCTCCCATTTTCTCTGAAATTACTGGACCGATTTTTTTCAAATTTGGATTTAAAATTAGGAGTCATCCAAGGATGATCATCCATCGACATTTCTATCCGCCTTTTTCTATCAAGATGGCGACCAAAAAATCTGCGTTGCTATGGACTGTAGCGCCTAAATGTACCGAATTCAATGAGACTTCTGAAACTGAAAGCTAAAGTCTACTTCAGGAATCTTTTTAAATTTATCAATATAACATACTTCAACGAAAAGAAGCTGGAAAAAAAGTTATGAAGGATGGTAAAATTCGATTCCGAATAACTCAAGAAGTATACACTTTTTTGCCGTTACTGTGATGAAATGTTTCAAAGCTATTTAAATTTCCTAAAAAATGAAGAAAGTTTCATAAAAATCAAAGCACTATTAGTAAAGATATCGCGATTTTTACATATTTTTGTTTTATTATTTTCAATAATGAACTGTTGTGGTCTAACAAATAATTAAAAAACTTAACCCCCTCTCAAAATTTGAAGTTCTACGTTTCAGAATACGTAGTATTCGAAAAACGAATTCAATTTTTTTTTCCGTCCATCGTCCGCGGATTTTCTCCGAAACTATTGTACCGATTTTTTTTTTCAAATATGGATTTGAAATTAGTGGTTACCCGAGGATGATCCTACTTCATCGAAATTTCAATCCGCCTTTTCCTTTCAAGATGGCGACCGAAAAACCTGGGTTGCAATAGACTATAGCGCCTAAACAAATGTACCGGCCAAAATTTTGAAGATTAGGGAAATTTAAATAAAAACTGACCTAATAAATGTTTAAGTATATTGATATATAATAATTAAATAACATGGAACTACAGGTTCAAGCATACATATTATTTTTTTTTAAATCGATATTATCCGTCGAAAGGGTATCTTAATCTTAAATTTGTTAAATTTTCACATAATTATCCCCTAAAAATTATTATTACAAAAAATAAAAAAGATTTCAACTCTGTTGAGAATTGTAGTTTTACCTTCATTATTTCAATATTTACACTATTTTTTTTTGTAATCAATTACATTTCAATAAAATTTAGAATGAGGACTAAGGCTTGGGATAGTTTGAGGAGAGGATAGTTGATAATTAATATATTTGAGAACCAATTTCAAACAGTTAGAATGAAGATTTTACTAAAGGAGTTATTAAATTTAAAACAAATACTAAATAAATTACCTTTTAGTCTATGAAAATAAAATTTTACTGATAAAATGTTTCTGTATTCGATAAACCCTAGATAACTGAGATAGAATCGTTGAGAAATTTCAAAATTTTTAACCGTTCAAATTGTAAAATTTTGATGGAGCAAATCACGAAAGATTTCTATTTGTTACAGAATGAAATAACTTTTTTTCAATGTAATTGCATTAGAAAATATTTCTATCTGATCAATACCTAACATAATATCTTATGAAAATTTTCGAATGAACTCATAGTGTTCCACTAAAGTGCTCCTAATAATGTCTGCTATTGTCTGTAATAGATCTTCTCTTATTCATGTAAATATGATTAAAGTATTAATAATAATAATAACATTTATTTATTTGTTTTCAGGGAATGCCCCATACAAATAGAGTTGGCTATAATGATAACAATGAACAAATTAATATCAAAAACATTTACAAATTATATAAAAAATAAAATTCATTAGGATTTAGTGACAACATCCTCTCCTAATAACAACCATAAATATGATTAAAGTACAACTGCCAAGAAAAAAGTAAATAAATAAATAATGTTAATTCAGGTAAAAAGGTGATTGATTAAATTGGTCAGCTAACAATGTCTCAACTTTACATGAATTATATACACAGGAAAATCACTAGTACCTTTAAATAAGAGAATATCAGCAAGCAATGTTTTTCATATAATTTGATGAAACCTACTATTGAATGGAATAAGTCCCAGCATGTAGCTTAGTGTAGCCAGTAGTTTATTTTGCTTTTATACATACATTATGCTTCAATTTTTACGTAGTTGTACTCAGAGGTGCCTAGAAGGGGGTTTTATGGAGCAAGCTGCTTAAAAAAATTAATGAGGGGGTCACTTTTTGACGGGATTTTCAATTTTCGAGGGGGGCACATTTCGGCGGGGTTCTGCATTTCAAAATGAAAAGTTTAAAATCAAAATACAAGTCAAATCATGGAAGAGACCACAGGGTGTATAATGGTTTATAATTTATGAACATTCATATTCTATTTTCGTTTGCACTTATTTTAAGAAGAAGAGAGGAATAAAATATCTTGGGAAGGGTGGGGGAAGGTTTATGTGCCATCGGCCTTGGGGGAGGGATGGGAACCCCTGGTTATACTTTAATACTATACTAAATTTAATTTTTTAAATATTTATTTGTCCATAAGTGAGACATTTCAAAGACAAAATCAATAACTTCTCTCTTATTAAGATCTGAAAATATTAATTCAAAATATGTGTAAATACCATTAATTTTTGGTTAGATAACTGAAAATTAATCAAAAATTTGTGTATTTATGGGCTAAATAGAGGGAAACTGGAGAAAATAGTTATTGTACCACTTTCTAGGGATGTTAAGGAAAAATAATATGGTACAAAAAGTGTGATTATAATACATTCAATTTAAGGTTTTTTTTCGCCTATGAACCACTGGGCGCCGGTTCGAATCTGGCCTGGGAAGAGTAAACTTTTATTTCGTGGCGGGCCCACAGAACGGAATTCGATCTTCCAACTCTAGTTATAATAGGTTTAGTTGTACCTCTAGAACAACCCTCCCCCTCTCTCGTATCGCCGGAAATGGTGGGTAATTGAATAAAAAATGTAAAAAATGATCAGCTTCTCCAGTCGAGACAGGACGAAGGATCAATTTTCAAAGCAGGGAGGTGTCAATATGAATAGGAAGTGGGGTAGCTCAGTGGTAGGGTACTGAGCTTTCAATGCTAAAGGTCATGGGTTCGAATCCCGGCTTATGGCAGAAAATTTACTTATCTGTTTTATTGGCCCTGGGGCAACTCTGGGTTGGGAGACCCTCCTGGGGCACACCCAGCCTCTATAAAGTGGGTACTCTTAATTAAATAATTAATTAAGGGAAAAAAATGGTGATTGAGCGTGATTTCGGTCAAATCACCTCCTTGCACAACCGTTGACCTAGAAACAGTGCTTTTCCTAAATAGTAATGAACCCAAGACCCTTCATGGATTGTAGTGGTACAGGTTTTTTCAGGTGAATATGAATATATCTGGTTCCATTATGTTTAAAAACAGAGAAACACAATTGTTTTTACTATTACTATATAAATATAAAAAATATTACTTGAGGGAAAAATAATTTACCAAAAAAATATATAAAGATGGTATTAATTTTTAAATAATACATAAAGTTTATCATTAAGGCACAGGGGATCTAAAACTTGAAAGTCCAAAGAAACCTAAAAATCGGACATGATTACAAATTTCAATTGTTTACTTTTTTAAATAGGTTTTATTGTCAGACTTACTTTGTCACTTTCCCTAATCAGACTACATTTTATCTAATTGTTTGGAATTTTTTTTACTCAGGGCTATGATACTGTGGTCGGGGAAGGAGGAACAAAGCTGTCGGGAGGTCAGAAACAGAGAATAGCCATTGCCAGGGCAATAGTCAGAAAACCAAAATTGTTACTACTTGATGAAGCCACTTCTGCATTAGACTCTCATTCAGAAGGCATTGTCCAAAAAGCCCTAGATAATGCAATGCATGGTAGGACAACCCTAATAATTGCACATAGGATGTCGACAGTGAGAAAGGCTGATGTTATTTATGCTATGAAGGTAAGTCATTTGTCATAGTTTTCCTACCATCGTAACCATTCCCTTCATGGTCCGCTGTGGTACAGTATTTTCCAATTATTACCCAGCTGCGTCTTGGGTCTTCCCCTTTCCATTTTCTTTACTGCTGTTTTTTTCAATTCATCCAGAAATCTTCCTGACAATATTTACTGATGACACTATCCTGTGATCCCATTCCAGCTCTGAATTGGAATCCTGAAATCTAAAAATGAACCTCTCTTTGATTGAACGGTGTTGCAACAATTGGCGCATCAAAATCTATGAATCAAAATTTATGCATGTTACTTTCATTCCCCGACCTATATCCAGTTCCTCTATAAATTACAACTCCACACCACTTCCTATCTCAAACACAGTCCGGTTTCTTTTATCTATCATAGATTTAAAAAGCAACACGTCGACCGATGATTTGGGGCGGTAAATCGACTACTGAACAGAACATCACATCTTTTAATATACAATATACAACAGTACCGTACTAAAACTCGACTGGAATTCAAACCTGAACTGTGGGGGACAGCCAGGTTTTCAAATATATTTACTCGTATAAAGTTCTTCAAACAATATTCACTACCTTGACCCAACAATCACACTATCTTGATCTACATCCTATTTGTCCGTGACGTTATTCCTTCCATATCCTCAAACTTTTACAAGAACATTTGTCATCATACCTTTAGCTCAACCCATATCTTGGAGTCAAACAGTTCCTAAAATTCTCCTCAAAGATTGGAACGGCAATGGTCCCAAGCCCTTTTGGTAATATGATATTGGAGTTCTGGCAATTGCCAGCTTCTCCATTTGATTACTGAGCCTGCGTAAAGTGCTTTTACATTCTCTATCGGCTTTCCATACAAATGCCCCGCTCGTGCGAGAAGCATTGGAATCTCATGAAATCTAGCTTTGGAATCCAGATATGGAGACAAAACTCAATTCAAGGTATCCTAGGACATAATTTAAATATTGAACACACATATTAACGTTTTCAAAATGAGTTATTTTATATGATTTGTGTTATTTTTTCTCTACTCGGTATGTATGGTTTGAATGAAAATATACAGCTTTAATAATTATTTTCATTGCGTGTAGCAGCTCTTAATATTTCCACTTGAAAAACTTTGATATATCTTTCATGGAGGTTTAAATATTTATTAATAATGCTGTTCCATTTAGAATGGTTGTATTGAAGAAAAAGGCTCACACAGTGAACTGATGAAGCTTAAAGGATATTATTACTCTCTAGTCAAAGCGGAAGAACAGGAAGATAAAGAAAAAGCTTTTAAGTAAGAAACCATCATTTACTAGATTTTTTAAGAGAAATACATAAAATATTAAGAAACTCATTCTTTTGTATTAACATTTATTGATTACCAGTTTGGTATTATTATTAATTCGAAACATAAAGGTACATTATAATACCAACTGCGAGGCGAATTTGCTATACAATCTTGCCAATCACTCTAGTTTCTATCTAGTTTCTAAAAATTTTAATTTATTATTTTTATTTTATTTTAATGAAATTTACTAGTGTATTACATGAAAAATACAACAAGTAAATGTGACATTCGTAACATAACATGTACAACATGAAGAGAAACTACCCATTGTGAGAACCCAAAGTAAAGCTCTATATTAGAAGGTCCCGAGGCCATCTTCTTTTCAGAAGTCTCGAAGGACTATCAGTAATAGAAGAGGTAGCAAGATTGGAAACATGAAGGTTCGGATGGTTCAGAAGTTTATTATGTAAGGATAGGTATCTGGATTGGGCTAAATCGGAAACATGTGGTACATTAACTTCAGATTGGATGATTTTATTTGTGACAAAGGAAGGTGCATTGAGGATTTTGGATTTCAAGGATTGAATACGCGAGGAATTTGATAGTAGAGCCCCAAAGGTCTATTCCATAAGACCAAATAGGCCTTATTATACTCATAAATGTGAGTCTTTTGTAAGTAATTGGAAGCCTAGAGCATTTGTCTAGTAAATGCTGCAGTAGTTGAATACGTCGAGCGGTTTCAGTCTGGTATGAGGATTCCAAGTGAGTCCTTTGTCCAGGTGGAGTTCTAGATATCGGATTTGTTCAACAGGGGTAAGTGGGGTATTGTTAAAGGATACTTTAGGGCAGGAAGTCATAGGTTTACAACGAAGGGTAAAGGTAATTTGATGGGATTTACTGAAGTTTATTTTAATCCTCCAGTTTTGACACCATTCTTCAAGACTTGTGATGTGTGATTAGAGAGTTTGTGATGCAATTGATGGATCGTTGTTAACTAATAGAATACACGTGTCATCGGCATAGGTGGTGATGGCAGTGTTGGGATGGGTTGGAATGTCATCTGTATATACTGTGTAAAGGATAGGACCTAGGATACTACCTTGAAGAACAGCAGTAAACTGAGAAAAAAGAGGTGAATAGGCATTCTTGAGATTTACTTTGAAGTATCTATCACTAAGGTAAGAACGGATAATGAGGAAGTATATAGGTGGTAACAATTTACGGAATTTGTACATCAGTCCCGGGTGCCAGACTTTATCAAACGCCTCTACAACGTTGAAAAATGCTCCAGTGCAATACATTCCGCGGTCCTATGTAGAGGAAACTACATCTACCACACGACGGCATTGCTGAATAGTGCAGTGAGATGTACGGAATTCAAATTGGTGATCTGGTATTATGTGATTAGAATCTAGGATGGGATACAGGCGTTTTAAGATGAGTTTTTCTATAATTTTGTCCATAATGGGTAAAAGAGTGATAGGACGGTAAGAGGATGGGTTTTCTGGCTGCTTTGTGGGTTTTCTTAAAATTAATATAGAATTTGTTTTGGGATGATTTGATAAAATATAAGTAAACTTAAATAAGAAAAAGTAAATAAATAAAAAATCTATTTTATTTTAAATATCAATAAAACGGTTAGAAAAAACACAATGAATTTTTCAAATGACATAAAGAAAACATACAAAAAAATTTTGAATTGTTTTTTTCAGTGATTTATAACTTTTTTAAAATTAATTTTAGCAAAAATACCATTATTGCAACTATCCTCTTTCATTATTTTTTTTCATTTGAAGCCAAGTGTGTGCTTTTCAAGAGGATTTGATCAACGAAGATGCATCATTTGCCGATGGCGATAATGTACAGGTGAGATATTTTTTATTGATTTTGATATATCTTACCTCGACATAGATTCAACTATTATTTTATCTGCCTAGGTTCCTGAGATCGTTGGTAAACCCTTCACAATGAATAAGAAAAATCTCAAAATAATACTCATATTGTTATTGGCTATTTTTTCCACTGCTGCTATTGCATTATTCATTACTGCTTTCTATTTCGTCCTTAGTATTTTTTGCGAGGTAATAGTTTTTTTTTAAACATTCATCACTTTCAATTTTTTTTCTTTTTTTTCAATGTATGTCTTAATCATTTCGATTTCAGTCTTTCACACTTGCTAAGGATGAACTGAAGTGGATAGTTCTAAATAATGTCGGTATTATGATGGCCCTTGGCGTTCTTGCATTCATCTCGGCAGCTTTGTCTGTAAGTATTGCACGTCATATTAAGAGAAATGATGCTCTGGTTGATTTTCTTTTGAATAACTCTTGTTAGTTTCAAAGTAAACTGCATACAGATTGAAGTGGAACACTGATAATAATTCACTTACAGATAATTTTCAAGCATTTTTTTTTTTTTTTTTAAATAAAGCTAAAATAATAATCTTGTAATGACTAAATAATAGTAATCAGTACAATCCTCTCTTTAGTCCAGTCAAGGAATGAGATATAGAGTAGGTGAGTAGGGACCTAAGCGATTCCTTCCGAAATTCGGTCAGGGTACTTAGGATGTGAACATATCAGGGTGCGCCGAGAGGAGGGAGAAGGGAGGGTGGGAGGAGAGGTCACAATTTTCAGTTTACCGCTTATATTCCAAAAGCTGTGCTTTGCAAGAAAACCTTGTTCAATAATAAATGGAAGTTTATAAAATTATCTAAAAATGTTATTCTATTGTTTTTTTTTTCGAATTCTCAACCATTTTCGTGCTACACGCTCGGAAAAAGTTGACATTTTCGAAAAGAAATATTTTATTTCACATTTTTCAACAAACATTATTTCATATCGTCTAAACTATTCGTCAGCGAAAGAAATTCATTTAAAATAAGTTCAAGAGACTTAAAATTCCTATTTGAATATATGTATATATGCAAATTAATCTCCAACCTGTTTACGGTTTGAATTTTTTTTTTTTATAACATTTTGTCATATTCAGAGAAAGTTTTTATCATATCCTTGGAAAAATTTTGTTCATTTGTCTTATAATATGTGTGGCCACAATTTAAAATCAGTTATTAAATAAAGTAGAAAAATGAATGTATGAATATGAAGTCTTCTGTTAATACTATTCAATTTTGTTACCTTGAATATATACAATTATAAACCTCATTGTTATCACTGCTGTTAATAACTTAATATTACAATATTACTTAATAATAACTTAATATTACACTCACAACTTTACATTGATTCTCCTTTTCATCCTCTTTGGATGTGCAGGTCCTGGCAAGAGTTGTTCATCCATGGCATCTTCATCAACCGTAGTGGGTGGCTCTTGCTGAATGGGCTCTACGTCGTCTTCATCGTCGCCATCGGCAACAGACACTCTTATCTAGACATTTCCCTTGGCAGTGGGGACACGCTGCAAAACAGGTCAGGATTGCTTTCTGGCATTCATATTCGCCAATTAGACAATCCTCGGTTTAGCCTTGGTGATATGAAGTTTTTTGGTCTAACAATCCCAATAATGGCAATTCTCAGTGCGACACATTATCTCTTCGTTTCTTCTACAATCTTTATTTTCGGAAATAGAAACCCCCCAAGAAAAAACGTTAGAGATGGAGGCATTGTACTTGGATTTTTCAAAAAGTCGTCCGAGGAAGGCATTCCTTATAAGGTATTCCTGCCTCTTTCTCTACTGCCTTTTCGCATACTTCTGTGAACAATATCTTAGCTATTCGTTTCTTCTGGATACCGATCACTTCCTTAGCTGATTCTTTTAATCCTTTCTCTATTTCCTCCCAGTGTTGGTTCACCGTGAGTCTACCCGAAATTTAAGTGTTCAAATTTATTTTTCAGTTATTCAAGTTGGAATTCGGTTTTTTCAAATTATTGACTTGATACCTCCCACTTCCCACTCGATTCCCTGTTGTGTGAATTCGCTTCAGTCTTTGACATAGTTTAATTCTAATCAGAGAGTGATCCGAATCACAGTCTGCTCCACGATAGCTTCTTACATCTTGTATTGAGCTCGGATGTGTCTAGACCAGAACACGGTCAATTTGGTTTTTCTCTCCTTTAGGGCTAACAATGAGCTTGGTCCATAATATTTTCCAACTCATCGTAGAAATCATCACCTCTTCATCTATATCTGCGGTTTGTGGATACACATTAATTGTCGTGATATTAAACCAACGACTTTTAACTCATAATACACCAATCCTTTCGTTTATAGGAGTGAAGTTTATGATTGATTTCATTGCCCTAACTATAACTATAAATCCTATAAATCCCGTGCCGACTGTCGTATTTTTATCGTTTCTCCGGATTTTTACAAGTAGCATGATTTTTCCTATTTTATTTAATAATTATTGAATAAAGTATGTGCGGCAAATATTAAAATAAAATATCTGTTGTTATGTAATTAAAATAAAGTATAGCCGCACATATTATTAGACAAATAAACAAAATTTGTAGGTCAAGAATATGATAAAAACAACTTTTTTTCAGAAAATGATTACATTTTACGAAAACATTTAAAATAGCTGTAACTGTAACTTGGTTGGAGATTAATTTTTTAACGTACATAAACATATACAGGGTGTTTTATAACTGCACGGCACTACTTTAGGTATGTGTTCACTAACACAAAATAAACAAAAAAGTTCATATTAACATACAGTGATGGAAAAAAGTATTTGCACAACACCTTTTTATGAATAAAGTAGTTCAAGGAAACAAAAAACATCGCTTTCCTTTTTCAAAATGTAAAGTAAATTTATTAAAAACTGAAAAAACCTTTTTACAAAAAAATAAAAACACTTCATAATCAAACAAAATAATAATAACAATAAAAGTGCTTGGAAAAAAGTATTTGCACACTTCCACATTTACAAGTTTATTTTAAATTTTAATAGTTTTAATATTTTGTAAATAGGCCATTTGCGTCAATAATTACTTGTAGACGTCTGGGCATTGAATGCACTAGATTTTTAATTAAATCTACGTTTATTTGTTCCCATTCTTGAACAAGAAGTGGTTTAAGGTGATGTCCAATAGTGATATGGTGTTTTCTTACATTTTGGTCTTTTTTTTTTTGTTTTCTTACATTAGTGTGCCATAAGTTTTCAATGATATTTATATTTGGTGACTAAGGAGGAGTGTGGAGCTGTCTTGGAACATTAAATATTAACCACTCCTTTGTTCTCCTCGCTGCATGTTTTGGATCGTTGGCCTGCTAGAAATCGTACTGATCCTGGATTCCCATTTTTTCGGCACAAACACGCAAATTAGGTCGCAAAATGTTCACATAGCCTTCCGCATTTAAAATGCCTTTGATGCTCACAAGATTTCCCACGTCATGGTAGGAAACACACCCCCAAACAATAGCATGTCCTCCATCATGCTTTACAGTTGTTAAAACATTTTGCTTCTTTAGGGCTTCATTACGATGTCGCCATATCGTCCTTCGACCATCTGAACCAAACAAATTAAATTTGCTTTCGTCAGAATTGGTTTCTGTACGTACTCCCAAGCAAAAGCAAGGTGCTTTTTGCGATTCGTTTCACTGATGTATGGCTTCTTTCTTGGAACTCTACCATTGAGCCCTTCCGGATTCAGGTCATATCTAATTGTTCTGGTAGTAATCTGAACTCCAGACGTTGATTGGACCATGGTAGCCAGCTCCCGAGAACTTATCAGAGGATTTTTAAGAGCTTCTTTTCTGATTTTCCTCTTCAGCCAGGGAGTTAACTTGTTTGGACGCCCTTTACGCTGACTGTTTTCAGTTGAACCACGTTCTTTATACCTTTTTATGATGTATCTCACTGTAGAAAAATTCAACCCTAAGAAATCGGTAATTTGGCGATATGTTTTTTGCTGACTCCTCAGTAAAACAATATTTTCGCGAGTTGCGGCACACAGTTCACTTGTATTTGGCATGATAATTGTCTATTGACTAAAGGAACCTGATTTAAACACTAGAAAATACTGGTAATAAACGATTAGAGATAAATTAGTAAACAAACCTATGACCTATGGACACAGGAGGATTAATGCCAAAGTAAACAGAGCTTGTGAGTCATAGTGTGCAAATACTTTTTTCCAAGCACTTTCATTGTTTTAATTTTTTTGTTTCATTATGGAGTGTTGTCATTTTTTTCCAAAAGATTTTTCTCAGTTTTTAACAAATGTACTTTTCATTTTTGCAGAGGAAAGCGAAGTTTTTTGGTTCCTTGAACTCATTTATTCATAAAAACATGATGTACAAATACTTTTTTCCATCACTGTACATCTCAAACTCATTTGTTAAACAGATATCAAAGATTTATTATTTATTATTACAACATTTAGAGTAACTGTTCAAAGGGGCCTCCGATTGTTTAATTCAACATTCAGCACGACAAATCCATGCTTCTCTGGTTCATAGTTTCTATGGTGCTTGTTCATAGTTACTACACGATCCGATTTCTTAGTGCCAACTGACGCAGAATAAACCATATACTTCATCCAGTCCTACACAATATAATCTATAATGGCGTTAAATTCGGAGATCTTGGTGGCCATTTAACAGATCCGTTTCGACCAACTCATCGGTTTCCATAAGTTGCATTTAAATAATCAGTGACACAATTATTAAAGTGAGCTGGAGCACAGTCGTGCATTAACTTGCCTAATGCACAGCCTTTGCCTAATGTCTAGCGGAATATCTTCTAGGAGTTCATGAAGATTATTTTGCAAAAAATGCTAGTAAGATATATCTGGCAGCCTAGGTGGCAAAAAGAAGGGTCCGATGATGCTGTCGAAGAGCACACCAGACATTTAAAGAAAAAGTATGTTGCATGTTGGTAATGTCCAACAGCAGTCGTATAAGGGTTTTCTTCATCCCAAGTATGGGTATTTCGAAAATTAAGAATCCCGTTTCTTGTAAAGCAAGATTCATCAGTGACCAAAATGACGTTCAGGAAGGATCTCATGTGCAATGTCGGATTAACCACACGGAGAAATTTCTACGCTTGTTATAATCTTGTGGTAACAAATCTTGCCTACTCGATACGTGAAATGTATACAATTGTTATTCGCTTAAAGTTCGCCATAAGCAGGTAGAGGGAACATCGAAACGACATGATAATCTTCTGGTACTAGTACTAGGAGATAACTGAATAGCATCGAGTATTTCTTCTTCAACGTTTGCAGTTCGTCGAAATCTTTGTCGACCGGTATTTACTCGTATAGGTCTTAACGTGTCATTATCTGTTAGGCGTCTTTCAATTGCATCAAACGTTTAACGATCTGGTATTCTTCGGTTAGGAAATTTTTCACGATATCTTCGAACAGCAGCAGCACCGTTTCTATGTACCTCGTCATAAGTTAAAAGCATGTCCGTTTGTTCTGCTAAAGTGAATAAATTTATGGTGTCTCCCATGATAATCATAAATTGAACTGCGTCACAGTTTTCACTTACACTAAAACATATAGAACTAGACAAACACATAAACAACTACTGTCATTGCTTTCTTAGTTGTTTATTAGGTGATTAAAACCTGTTATTCAGTATTAAACACGTTAAACTTTGTACAGTCAGTCTTAATGTAGTAAATAAATAATGAATCTTTAATCTTAGATATCTGTTTAATAAATAAGTTTGAGATATATGTTAATATGAACTTTTTTGTTTATTTTGTGTTAGTGAACACATACCTAAAATATTGCCGTGCAATGACGAAACACTCTGTATATTCTCATAGGGAATTTAAGTCTCTACAACTTCTTTTATATGAATTTCTTTAGCTAGGAAATAGCTTAGACGATAGGAAGGAATGTTTGTTGAAAAATTTTAAGTAAAACATTTCTTTTCGAAAATGTCAACTTTTTCCAAGCGTGTAGCGAATTCGAAAAAACCAATAGGACAAAATATTTTGATAATTTTAAAAAGATTTATTTATTACGAGACAATGTTTCCTTGAGAAGCACTGTTTTAGAGATATAAGCGGTAATCTGAATATTGTGACCTTTCTTCCTGGCCTCTCCCCTCCCACCCTTGGCTCTAGACATGAAGACTTTTGATATATCCACATCCTAATCACCCTAAAAAAGTTTCTTAAAGAATTGCTCATGCACTCCACATCCCCTTTTTGGCCATTGACTGACTGGACTACAGTATCGCTGACAGCAATGGTGTTGTAAACACGCTGGTTAAACAGATAAACTTTACTATCACCAGTCGATACTCTTTGATCTTATCATAGTATCCACCAAAAATATAAATCAAGGTTTCCATTCTGCTTTTAATACCAGACAGAATATTAAATGATATATTCTTCTGCTTCGCAAAGACTTTTCCAAATGTCTTTTCCATTGATTTTACACTAGAGCTATTTCATTTTTTTTTTTTTTTTGTCGTACATTTTACAAGATTTTCGAGATGAAATTATATTATAATGGACCTCAATCATGCGCTGAGAACACTATAGTAACTGATTCCCGATGTTTGAAGAATGATCCGGCGGAAGTCAATACCAATCGAAATATTTATTTTCGTTGTTAGTCTATGTACTTCTCCACTGGCGATCAAAGGAGAAAAATATAAAGCTTGACAGCTTAAAGGAGTCATTCTAAAATATCAGCACTCATTTTTTTATAATTTGTCAATTTATAACTAAAGTTATTATATTTAAATTAAATTTTTAAATAACTGTTGGTGTTTATAATTTATAGAAATTGATTGAATGTATTTAAATAAGCGTAGCGCGTTTCTTCCCTTTTTTGTATCCAATGGCATCGAATTTATGTCATATCATAATTAAATTTATTTATTTTATTGGTTTATTTGATATACAAAAGGCCATTATTACGTTATTTAATTTATTTTGGTTTATTATTTTCAATAATCAACCATTGTGATCGACCAAAAAATTCAAAAATTTAACCCCCTCTCCCTCAAAATTTGAGGTTTCACGTTTCAGGATGCGTTTCAGGAATTCGAAAAACGAATAACAATTTATTTGTCCGTCCGCCGTTCGTGCATTTTCTCTAACTACTATAGTTATTTTTTTCTAATTTGGATATAAAATCAGAGGTCACCCGAGGAAGATCCTCCTTCATCGACATTACTATCCGCCTTTTACTTTCAAAATGGCGGCCGAAAAACCTGCATTGCTATAGACTGTAGCGCCTAAACGAATGTACCGATTTCAATGAAACTTCGCTAAAGTCATTTTCTCTACGCCCTTTAAATTTGTCTATATAACATACTTCAACGAAAAGAAGCTGGAAAAAAGTTACGAGGGATGGTAAAATTAAATTCAGAATAACTCAAAAAGTTTACACTTTTTTGTCAACATTGTGTGGTTTTTTAAAAGTTTACAAAAGCTCCAAAAAACAGAAAAAAAAATTGTTAAAATTGGACAATTAGAAGCAAAGATAAGGTCTCCGGTTTTTTTTAATGTCCTACTCCAAATGTTATATCCCTTGTTTGGTTTTTAAATTTTTAATGTGTTATTGAAGTAATTCTATTTTTTTTTTTTTTTTAGCATATTACTAATGATAATAAAAAAATTTAATCCAATAATTGAAATCATCTTTTATTTATTTTTCTTTGTAACTAGGAAGGTAGTGTTACTTTAGATGTATAACTGTTTGGAAATAGTAAACCATTGTTAAATAATTTGCAGACGTTTTAGTAATAAAATTTAATTTTAAAACTAAATATTTATATAATTGGAAATGCAATTTTCCCAACTTTATTTTTTTATTATTCATTATATTTTTTTTAGAATATGATGTCTACAAAGGTAACTCAACTATGGTTGGAAAACCTACAAAATAAAGCTTTTAATAAAATAGTTTCTATGGACATAGGCTGGTTTGATAGGAGCGGTAATTCTCCTAATGAATGCCTTGAAGTATTGACCAACTGTCCTCCTCTCATTGAATCAGTAAGTACTACAGTAAAACAGTAATATTAAGTTAAAATTACATAAAGAACAATAAACAAAGAAAAATGTGAGCTCCATCACCTATTAATTTAATAGGAAGATATAATTATGACAATGCAGACCTCCTTAAAATGCAAATTTGTAGAAAAAGTAGAATTTCAAGAAATTGAAAAACGACAAAAAAAAAGGAATTTGGGGATTATAGTGGACCCAGGATTTATTATTGGGGGAGGAGCTTTAGCCTGAAAGCTTTTTTTCACAAAAATAACGATAATTACTTTTGAAAAAAAGAAATACTAACTACCTATATGAAATGGTGTTTAAGTGATTCCTGAAGTCCTTTTAAATGAAATTACACTAACAATAATACTTTAAGAGATCATTTTTTTATATTTTTTTCCATAAAACATGGTTATATTTTACAATTTTGGGGTGGCTTCAGCCCCAAAGCCGGCCCCCGTAGATCCGCCCGTGCAGAGTAAAAAAAAAGTCAATGATATAACCGTAACAGTAATGCTAATATAAAAATCTGGTGTGTCCACTCACAACTTTCCTACCTATTTTAGAAAAGATTTTATATCTTTATATATGTCAATCAAAGAAAAAAAATTGGATTAGATTTATTTTTCTGAAAATTGATCAAAGAAAAGATTTAAGTACGATTTATTTGATAAATTAAAGCAATGTAAACCGGCTTGAGGTAGATCATGTAAAAATTTCAATACCCTCTAATATTGCTTATCAAATGGCTTGTCACAGTTTAATTTTGTTAAACAATAATTTCTGTTAAAAGTAGACAAAATAGTGAAGCTTATGTTTTTCGGACTCAGCGGGCTCTCAAACGAACAGATCCGTCGAAAACCACATATTGGAAATTTGACCCCATCGTAGTACTTTTCTTACCTAGTATAGGTAGGAAATTAATAAATTACTACTCACTCAATTCACAATATTATGCTTATTTATTTTTGCTGTACATTATCTATACATCAAGTTTTATTTTATTTTATTCTCTTCTAGTTATTTTTATATTATGAAAACTGTATATAGATTTTACATTATTTTAATTGCTATATATCATATGCTTATGAGCTTAAAATTTCATGTATTCAACTGGATTTACCCTGAATAAATAAATTAATATAAACATTGTGGGACAGGTGACAGGCGATAGGGGAGCTCAAGTACTCAGCTTCATACTCTCTGTACTATTCGCCTATGGCTATTCATTCGCCATCACTGTAAGTGTAACATTGATTAATCTGCCACTTCTCATAATCTTTTTGATAATTAATAGCTTGAGAATAAAATCAAAACTAGGTGATACTAAGTCCGCTGCCCTCGCAATCAGATCTACAAAGGTAAAAAAAAATGCATACTTGAAATGAAATGTAATTTTATTAAAACACTGTTAATGAGTATGAAAACCAATCTGTCCTTTAGGTTGCGACTGAATACGTTAAAAATGCCAAAACAATCCAATTACTAAATTGTCAAAATTATGTTATCAACCAGTATCAGGATTTGCTTATGCTTTCCAATAAGTAATGATTTATTTATTTATTTTAATTTATTGTGAAAGTCTCCATATTTATTAACCACCATATATAAATTTTATCCAGGGAGGCCCATGTAAGCATAATTTGGTTTTCAGCAGTTTACGGCACGAATAAGGCTCTGATACGATTGTCATTGTTTCTAACATTAACTTTTGGAGCTAAACTCATTGAGAACCATGAAGTTACAGGAATATTATTTTTAAGGTAGAGTAAACTTATATTATTATTACTAGAGTAGATTTATTTTGATCTTCAAATTATGTAGCAGAATTTATAAAATACATTTATATCAGTTTTTATTATTTATTCCATGGATGAGAGACATTTTATTCTGTTATTTATTTTGATAATTTCCAATAGCGATCATATTTTCATTTATAAATGCTAGTAAATATATATATATATATATATATATATATATATATATATATATATATATATATATATATATATTAGAATCAAATATTCTCAATGGAGGATGCTGGTGAAGGAGGAAATAAAAAAAATACACATACACAAGGTGGAAAGGAGACGTTATAAATGATTGAAGGAAAATCCTATCCCAGATCTGACTTGTGTTGCCCAAGTGCCTGACCTGACGAGTCTTGGTCTTGCAAACTCGATCTTGGTCATAGTCCTGGTTTTGCGCAAGAGTCTCACAACAGTCTTGAAGTTACTTATTAGCTTATTACTATAGAGATGTTACTGTAATTTTTTAGATAGGAGAAACCTAACTAAGCTCGAATAAAAAATTAGAGGAGTTAAATACAAAAGTATATTGGTTATACCAATTCTTAAGATATATAACTAAGATTGTCAAGTATTAGTAACTATTTTTTATTTTAAAAAATTTGTTTACCAGTCCTGGTCTTGTTTAGTCCTGCAACAGTTAGGCGGCCTTGGTCTTGGTCTTGCAAAGTACAAGACCAAGACCAATTTTGGGCAAAACTAGACCTGGCCTACCATGAAGAGATGCGGTGGCCTGGCCACTGGTCACGACTATCAACAAAATCATCTCCACAAAATACGCGTGGCTGGGAATCCTAGGTGTAAATTATGTGATCAAGCAAAAATGGATGCAGACCGTCTAGGCACATGCTTTGAAGGACAAAAGATCTGAGAAATAAAACATTTGTAAATAAATATATGAAAAAATCAAACTTATACTGTGCAGCAAGATGTCGGATGGTCGAATGACCTACGATTTTGGCGTAGGAAAAAAGAAAATGAAAATTACGAAATTAATTTTGAATTGAGAATTAACTCTTTATTTTATTATTATTTTTTTTGAAAATTTACAACTTTTTACAGAAAATCAATCATTTATTTATTTGAGAATGATAATATTTGGTATTAATAATTGCATTTTTTATTTAGAAATATTGACTTCTTGATAAATCATTTAGGTATTGATAAAGAATTTTGCAAAACTTCAGTTAGATTGAATCTGAACAATGAAGTTATGCATTATAGCTCTCTTATTACTACATTTTATTCTTTAAAAAAAAAAATATTTAACATGAAATATATCAATTATTGAGTAATGTTTTTGGTTTCTATGCTATTTTTATTCACAAAAAAATTGTATGGATTTTGCTATGTACCATAATTGCTGGTCCTTTTTAGTCAGTATTAATATGTATTATATATTGTAACTGATGGGTTTATGCTTGTTAAGTGTCTTGAATTCCCTCTGCTTCGCGTCCATGACAGCTGAACCTGCCTTCGTCTTAATGAGTCAGTATCCCCAAGCCAGAGAGGCTCTGATGAGATTTTATAGAATCGCAACTCTTAAAACAAATACCAATAAATTGAGAGATCAAGGAGATAAACCGGTAGGTTAAAGTATAAATTATTCCTCGTTGTTGCTGTTCCTCATTGTTGGGAGAAGTATCAAAATTTTTAATCAATTTCAGGAAATCAGTGGAAACATTGTTTTCAAAGACGTGATGTTTTCTTATCCAACCAGGACTGAAGTGCCAGTCCTTAAAAATCTGAACCTTGGGATTGAAGCTGGAACAACTGTGGCTCTTGTGGGAGACTCTGGCTGTGGCAAATCGACCCTCATCTCACTTTTAGAGAGATTCTATCGTCCCAACTCGGGAAAAATTGTAAGTTCTCAAGATTTTATTGAGTTATTTTATTTTACCCTACAAATTATAGATAGTACTCATATTTCATACATATTATGATCTTATATAATTGGAATTGTATGTCTTCGTAATTTCTTATAAAATAAAACTGACAAATAAAAATATAAACACCGGATATTTTCAAACAAGGCATTGAAGAATATGTATCGAAAGAAATTCATGATTATATAGAAATTATATGATCGTTAGAAAAAATTATAAATTATGCCTGTTTCATATAGAATGTAGAAATAGAAATAGAAAATAACTTTATTCTGGGACAAAGTCCATTCAAAATAACAAAATAGTACCTACTTAAAAGAATACATCTGGCCAAAATAAAACAATAATAAAAAAGAGAAAGTAAAGAAAATATTAGTTAAACAAGCTATATACAAAAAAAAATGTATATACAAAACACTTGAAACTACGATAAGGCACTAAAACTATGTACAGTAGGAAAAATTATAATTATACACTTCTGAAAAATGAAATAATAAAAAATACATTGAATTCGTCTTTAAAATAAGCTGTGTTTCTGCTAACAAAGGAAAGACAAATCTGACAATATAAAATGTTAGAGTATTTAAATAATGAATAATATCTAAACACATCATTTTCTTATTGTAACTATAGGTACAAATTTATTTGTATAAATAAATAAATAAATTTATTGTAACTATAGGTACAAATTTATTTGTATAAGAATAAAAAAACAAACAATAGATGCTTTCAAAGGCATTGAGAGTAGGAAGATAATCTAATTTTTTTTTTTTTTTTTTATTACTATTCTTTTTTTTCTTTATGCTATCATTTCTTCTCCTTGATATCATATTTGCTGAATACTGAGGTAGATGGCAAATTTATTGTAAGTCAAGAATATGTATATTATAATAAATAAATATCAAAAGTTTAGCAAGCATCTGAATGTTTTTGGGATAGGAATTGGAATAGAAGAGTTTTGAATGTGGATATGGAGGGGAAATGCCGAATTTTGATAGGTAGGGAATTCCAGAAATTGACGGCGCGAGCAATAAAGGAGTTTTGGAATGAGGCAGATATGTGAGAAGGGATATAGAGGTCAGAAAGTCGAGATCTTGTTGAAAGGGAATGGACTGAAAACTTGAATTGGAGAAGGTTGTAGGCGTAAGAAGAATGATGGTTGTTGATGATTTGATAAAGGAACGTACCTAGGAAATATTGTCTTCGAGAGAAGGGAAAGAGCCACCCAGACTCAGTGTAGTGGTGAGAGGCATGGGAGTACCTCGGGGCACCAATAACAAATCTTATGCAGCTATTCATTAATCTTTTCAGTCTATCACGGAGCTTCACCGAGAGAGCATCATACACCACACAGCTGTAGTCAAAGTGGGGGAAGATGAGAGAGGAAATTAAGAGTCTACGCGTATGTTGAGGTAGGTAATGGCGGAAGCGATAAAATAGTTTAAGGATAGAAATTGTTCGTCGGGAAATGTGAGAAATGTGGTAGTTCCAGGAGAGGGTTTGATCTATGAAAAATCCTAAATTTTCAAAACAGGAGTAGAAGGAAATTGGCTGGTCATTAAGGTGTAATATAGGAAAGTCGGTATGGGATCTAATAAGGGGCTTGGAACCAATGGCCTGAGTTTTGACAGCATTTATCCTTAATTCATTTACATTAGCCCAGGCACTGATCCGATCAAGGTTGAATCTTGGCAAATGCTACCAATAACTCAGGGGGAGAAAAGGATAGGTAGATCTGGAGATCGTCTGCATAAAGGTGGTGGGGAAAATCGAGAATTGAATTATGTAGGTCGTTAATATAGGAGCTGAAAAGAAGAGGAAACCCTTGAATCCTGGGCAACTCCAGAGGATAAAGGAAGGTAGGCAGATAATGGTTGATTGGGTATGGAGACTGCTTGGGAGCGTTGGGAGAGGAAAGATTGGAACCAAGAGATGTAACTATTGGAGAAAGATAATAATTTTAGTTTGTTGAAAAGGATGGAATGGTTAATGGTATCGAAGGCTTTGGAGAAGTCGAGAAGTATAAGGACAGTTAATTTTCTATCATCTATTGTAGATTGAATGTCGCTGGTAATTTTAATTAAGGTAGATTGTGTGGAATAGCCGGGACGGAAACCAGATTGGAGAGGGTCAAATTGGTTGGACTTTTCAAGGATCTTGGAAACTTGGGATTGCACCAGTCTTTCAAGAGGCTTTGAGAGGTTAGAAAGAACTGAAATTGGACGGAAATCTTCGGGCAAGGGTGGATTAGGCTTTTTATTTAAAGGTAGAACAATGTAGTACGTATTTGAGAGAAATATCGGTATTTTGATAATATCGACTATCGTTGGTCGTCGATTAATCGTAATTTAAGTCTGATATTTTCATGGTATCGATAGTTATAGACCGATATTAATACCGGTGACAATATCGATAATGGGCCTTGATATCCCATCCATACTTACACATTAACTTATGTTGGAAACACAATTGGATAAATCAGTATAGACTTTCATGTGATTTTTAAATATTTAAAATTTATTTGTATTTTATCTTGTACTTTTGCTGAATCATTTTCTAGCTAATTGATGGAAACGACATCAACAGCATAAATACGAGGTATTTGAGAAGCCAAATGGGCCTCGTGTCCCAGGAACCAGCTTTATTTGATATGACGATAAAGGAAAATATTCTTTATGGCCTAGAAGAGGAGGTTGGGATGGATAAGGTCATAGAAGCTGCAAAAATAGCAAACATCCACAACTTTATAATGAAGCTTCCGCAGGTATATGGAACATTTATTTCATTTTTATCAGTCTTAAATCTCTACTATATAAAATATTAATTTAAATCCTAAGAGCATTTCCAAGAGAAAGGAATTTGAGCGATGCTCTCCACGAGCTTTCATTAGATACTATAAACCCTGACATAGGACGAACTGGCCTGTATCCAGACGTTCTGGATTTTTTTATTACGAAACGACTACAAACTCACACCGTAAGAACGAGTTATGATCTACAGAAAATAGAATATATATATATATATATATATATATATGTATATGTATATGTATATATATATATATATATATCTTATATTAATTTTTAAGGTTTGCAATCGGTTCTAAAATTTTGTAACTGTTTGGGTTTTCAAATTATTGGAGAATGTAAAACCTTTCACTATCCTCTCCCTAGTCGGCGTCGTTCTCAATCCAACTTGCATGGAAATGTAATAAATTTGGAAGAATAATAATAAAATAAAAGAATAATAAATATAAAAACATAATTCAAACCTATGTATTTTTTTTAAATAATAATTTTCACCGAATAATGTGGTAAAAATACCATAAAACACAATTTTAAAATAAGGTTTTATCATCAACGGAGAATGTCGATTTAAAAAAAAATAATATTTATGCTTAAACCTTTAGTTTCATTTTTGTAAATCTCTCTCTCTCTCTCTCTCTCTCTATATATATATATATATATATATATATATATATATATATATATATATATATATATATATTAAGCCAAACTTTGTTTAAATCTTTCTAATCTATCTTCAAATTTTTCAATAATGTTAACTTGAATTATTAAATTTATATTTATTCTTTTTTTATTTTAAATATGAAACATAATATAGTCATAATAAGAAAAACGAGCAAAGCTATCGATTTAATTATTGTTTCATTCCATTCAGAATAAGAAAATACATACAAAATTACCCTTATTCGAGCTTTATAGTCGCATGTCTAATGTAGGCGAAGTTTATGCATTATAAATATTATATATATCTATACATCGCACAGTGGGGCGAAACACCTTATGTCCGGAAAAAACTTCGTCTACCATACGGTGAGCTATATAGGGGCTCAAAAAGGGGGGTTCATAGTAGCGATATGCACATTCAGTTTGCACTGAATTTTTTTTTAATTACGAATCATCAAATATGCAATCTGCAAATGCGGAATTGTTTCGCATTTTAGTATTTTCATTTTAGTACAGTTTATATTTTGCTGATAAACAAAATTCGTGGACAACAAGCTTGTATATTTTGAGGGATTATTGAATTTCCGAAAACGGCTTCTTCAGAGGTTTTATTCTCATACGAAAAAGTTTAAATCTTGTAACATAGATATTTTTTAGAAAATGAAAACAGTGAGGAAGCTCTGCTGGCTTGGCAGACATTTTTTTCATGAACATGTAATGCTTATTTTAGGCTTATGACACTTCAGTAGGAGAAAGGGGTTCGAATTTATCTGGTGGCCAGAAGCAGAGAATTGCAATCGCCAGGGCTGTTCTCAGGGATCCCAAGATACTGCTTTTAGACGAATTTACTTCTGCACTTGATACGGAGAGTGAGAAGGTAACGGTTTCTAATAAAATCTAAATAACTAATTGATTGAGTAACCTTACAAAATGAATTTGAATCGAACAAAAACTTAATCTCCTTATCTTTATTTGTAGACAGTGCAGGAAGCGTTGGAAAAAGCTTCAGTTGGCAAGACGACTATTTTGATAGCACACCGGCTCTCGACGGTCCGCAAAGCAGACAAGATAGTCGTTCTTCATTCTGGTGTTGTCGTAGAGGAAGGAACCCATCAACAGTTAATGGAAAAGAAAGGATACTATTTCAATCTGCTAAATAGATAGTTAAGCATTTTTGTTCAAACAAATCGTCTTGTACATATCTCATAACTTAAACATATTTTTAAATCTCGTATTATTTATATATATATATTACGCAAGCAGACGGTAAATGATTACTGTTGAATGTTATTTATTACATTAATTGAATGAAAATGAACAATTACAAATACTGACTAATTTTGTAAAATAGCAATCGTTATCTTCACAAATGTCTTAAATGAAATGGTATGCCTAATTTGAACTAAAAAATATATACTTTAATAATTATTTATCTTTCCATCTTGGTGTTCACTTGAAACATTTGTGCAAATCTAGATTAGACATTTTCCCAGTTATCAATCCTTTTATATTTTTTTACAAAATCTGTGATAACAACCGTTGTAACCCAATGACTTCATCACTTGTAATATATTTTAATTAAAATATTATTATTAATAGTGATTGATTTTATTTATTTTTCCTTATTTTTTTTCTTCGTAAGTTTTTTTTTCATCATAAAACTACATTACATTATACAATTTATAAATTATTGATTGAAATACTGTGGAGGATTACCAAAATCCAAAACCATGTGCAATTACCAAAATTTCACTCAATCAAATAACATGAAGGCGAAACCTTTTTTACTGTCATGATATTTTTATACGGCTACTTTAGGAATTACTAATAAGTCTGATAAGAACCTAAATTCATAAGTCATAAGCAAGGGAATAGATAGAAAGTTGCAAAGGGACTTAATCCACTGATAAAGACTGCCTATCAGCATTATTTCGGTTTGAAAGTGAGAAACTATGACAAGTCTTGCGCTGAACATATATGTTGCAACGCATGTTCAGTTACACTGCTAGAATTGATGAGAAAGAAGAAACGATCCATGGCTTTCGCGGGAGCCCACAAACCATACAGATGACTGCAATATTTGCTTGGCTCCATCTATAAAGGTAGGATTGTATAAAATAAGAACAGTTCAGTATCCGAATCTTCGATCTGATATACAACCCATTCTACATTCAAATAGTTTGCCAGTTCATACTCCACTCAAAAATTATGTGTTTGAAGTAGAAAATGAAGACAGTGTGGAACAAGCAGAAGAAACAAGCAAGCCTTTCACATACGATGTCCCTGGTTTTGAGGGAAAAGATTATGATTAAAGACTGCGTCAAGCGGAATTGAGTGATCTCATTAAATACCTTGGTCTGTCAAAGGAAAAAGCAGAAATTCTTGGGTCTCGAATACAGCAATGGAATCTTCTCGAAAGTGATGTCAGAATATCACACTACAGAAAATGTCGTTAGGAACTGTTTCCTTTTTTTTTTTAATAAATATAATCTTGTTTTTTTCTGCGAAATTAATGGCTTGATGAAATCATTGAATTTGAACCATGATCTAACTGAATGGATGCTATGAGTATTCATAGACTCATCCAAGCTTGGAATATTATGGTGACAAAAAAAAGCTTCGTTTTATGGATATAAAATAAAAATAAATAATAATAAACAAACAAGTTTAATCACAGAGATTACTCGTAAATTTATTCCATTGTGGGCTTTTTTTACAGGTTATATTCGCGTTTAAAAAGCTGTAATGGGATTTAGATGTTTATCTTAAACTATCCAGTAATTTTTTCTCTTATACTTAAAACCGCTTAATTTGTATATATCGTGATTTTGTTTATATTATGAAATCTTATGTCGTGTATTTTGTATATATTCATTTAAATAATATATTTTTCCGCTATACATGAATGATTTTAAGTATGTACATTAAAATTTCAAATTTCCATTCCACAAATAAGTTCATTTCATCACGAGCATTTTTCTTAAATTTTGTTGTTCTCACTCGAACGCAAAATTTAAAAGCTGAACAGTGGGAATATGTTGTATATGGTCTTTAGTATTCACTCCTTAATGTGACACTGAGTCAGGAATGAGAAGGAGTGTTTAGGGATGTAGGATTGCACTATGAATTGTACTCAATTATGCAGTGGACAAGTTGTTTATTGAAAAGTATCAAATCGATGAACAATCGAAGAAAAAGGTACAGAACAAAGAAAGGAAGAAACCTGGAAATGTGCCGGCAGGTGTCAGCAGCTGGAGAAGGGTGCGAGAGAACAAAGAACACTTGTCGCATGACTTGACGGCAGAAGAGAAGACCACTCCACTGAAGATTAAGAAGATCAAGCCTATAGTATATAAGACCATAATAATTTCAAGTTATTACAGTTGTGGAAATAAATTATTTTGTTACACAGGAGTGAATAGTCCTTTTATTTTGCTGCCTTATGTGCCTCATAATTGAAGAATAACAAACCATGTGAGTCAATTCATTCAAAGTGTATTTACTCAGTCCCACGTTTTATATATATATATATATATATATATATATATATATATATATATATATATATATATATATATATATATTCTTATTATTTCTTGTCACTCAGTGTCACAAAAGCTTTAGGTTCCCGAATTCCTAACAACAGTACACACCCTCAAAAAGTCTATATCCAGTGTCGGGCTTTAGTTTAAAAAAAATCACGAGTGTAAATAACCAAGACCCCTGACAAAACGGAAGGTTATTTACAAAATGAAAAATTTGTGGTGATCTTAAAGTCATTGCCATGCTCTTAGGCATGCAACTATCATTGCTGCTTCTTATGTATGTGGTACAGATAGAAAATAGAACTGTAGAGATAGGAAATTTCATTATATTAAAGGACCTACAAAAAATCGTATTCAAAAGAAGGATTCCTGGGATGTTAGGGCATCTTTTTCGTCAAAATCGACTAACCAGAAGTACCACTTTACGTTATCAAGTTCACACATTTTTATGATTCGAAAACAGCCTAACGATTTTGATTAAATTCAATTGCATTGATTAAATTGAAAATTCAATTCCAATTGATTAAATATCAGTGCATAATTAAGCGTTTTTCAATAAAATGTAGGGCTTATTCTTATTGATGTTCTCTAACAGTGTTTAAATGCCTCATTATTAAAATTTCTTCCTCTAAAGTACCTTTATTTTTTTTTATTGGAAATAATTAACCATTTCAAATTAATATATGATATAAAATATGGTTAAATATAATGAATGGATAAAATTGATTTGTAACTAAAAGAGAAATAAAGGTTGGAAGCTATACGGAAACAGCCGAAAGCGGCCGATCTTTGTCGATCCTCTCCCTTTACAGATACTCAATACTGTATAGCGTTTTCATATTGTTAGATTAATATTTATATATAACTTATCCATAATACTTTGAAAACGTTTTCACTAATTGTTGAGGATTTACCAATATAAACCTAATAAAATACAATATTGACCAGCGTTATGTTATTTTTTTCGACGAGTTTCGTGATAAATGTTTCCGATAAAACTCAGAATTACAATCACAAATACAAATAATTTTTCTAATTAATATTTTAATAAAGGAAGAGTTATAAAACATTCTAGTGAATATGTGTATGTGCTGCAGGTCAGAATTGGATATTGCTGGCATTTAATTTTTTTCTCTAAAACGCCTTCACACTATCAACATCGAATATATTGATCGTCTGTATTGTTACAATTATATTGACATTTGTAGTACTATGTATGCCATGTTTAATAATATTAGTTACACCCCTTCAGTGTCTCTGTTTAGGGGTTAATTTAACAATTAGGCACATTATTGCTGAGTGTTATGCCTGTGAGTGTTATGAAGCACAACCGAATGAAGTAGAAATTAAGGATAATATTGTGATATTTTGCAAAACACCATTAAACAAAAAAAAAAAAAGAGTTTTTGTTTCTTCAAATAATGCAACTATCTACTTGGCATACTTGGTTTACTTTCTCTTTTTTGGAAATTTTAATGTTTTAAATATTTTATACTTTCAAATTTATTGTTAAATTTTATCTTGTGTAATATAAATATTGTGTAAGAGCACAAATGGCCCGTTAAGGAGCCCCCCATTTTTAGAAATAAATAAAATATTGGTTCTATATTATTGATTCAATAATATTGACCATGTAAGGAGGGCTAAATTGGTTAGTAATCGTATAATGGTTAATAGCCATTATTTGAACCAGTATTAAGAGAGTGAAGTCTTCTCTTAAATTTTAACAAAATTCTTTTCTAGATAAATTTTAGATTTACTAGCTTATTTTCCATTAAGTCTGCTTCCAATCACGGGCGGATCTACGGGGGAGGGAGGCTTTTGGGCTGAAGCACCCCTCCCCCCAAAAAATGGTAAAACACAAGCATGTTTTATGGAGAATAAAAAATTTAAAAATACCTCTTAAAGTATTATTGTTCGTGTAATTACATTTAAAAGGACTTAAGGAATCACTTAAATACCATTTCATATAGGTAGTTAGTTCCTTTCTGTTTTTCCAAAGTAATTATCGTTATTTTTATGGAAAAAAAAGATTTCAGGCTGAAGGAGCACTCAAAATTAAATCCTGGATCCGCTAGTGCTTCCATTTATATAATCGATGCAGAATCTCCTTTTTTTGCTTTAAAACTATATGGTAAAAAAAACAATTCCTAGTGTTCTTGCGAAATCGGACAAGTTCCGATTTTCCTTATCTATTTCGATATCGGCCTATAGTATCGATATTATTATAATATCAAATCAAAAATATCGATATCATTAATATCAAATTATACTTATATTTATAAAGGAAACCACTGAATAATTCAATTGCACATTACAACCAATTGAAATTGAAAAATAGTGAAACGTGGATGTTATGATTGAATAATCTTAATAATTCACAAATAGTACAGGAAAAACCAACCAAAATTTACCAAAAATAAACTATAACGAGTACGCAAAAATTTTAGGGAAATAACTGTCTTGGGAGAGAGTCGGAATGTTATTAGTTAAATAATTTACACAAAGTCGAGCAAGGTAACGTAATTTGTTATTTAGAAATCAAATTAATAAATATTGTAACTAATAATTTTTTAATGATAGTTCACAAGAAGGCAATAGAGGACGGGAGTACGATTGCCCCCGACAATAAAAATATTGAGAAAATCATTTCGACCCCAATATTTTGTGCATAGACTGAAAAATAATGGATTATTATTCGTGCTATAGGAGGCTAGGAGTATTTTGCGAGTATATATAATGCTATAATATAACAATAATTCTAATTATTTCTACATTCACTATTTTTTCCCTTGTTTCGTCAAATAAAAATGTATTGGATATAGGCAATAGAATGATCAGGAAAATAGGAAATATTCAAATAATACTTCCATGAGAAAATTTAAATAAATTATATGTCATTAACATAGACACATAAAAAAATAATAATAGTGTCATAAAACCATATGAATGTAACAGACCCCATAAACTAAACATAGACTATGTATTACTTTTTCTGACTTTACAAATACACGCTTATTAACTATGGGAAAACATAAAAAAAAAATTCTGTTGAGTTTCACAACCTGCCAAAAACTCCCTTCAAATTGAAGAAATGTTCTTATCATTATCAGGCTGACTCCACTGAATTGGAACGTGAAAAGGCAGTTACATGGTAGGTTTCATCCGGGAAAGTTAAGGTTAGTCAAGTGTTGTCTCTCACGTTATCAGTTTAACTCAATTCTTTGTAGGAAATTAACCGGCAGTGAACAATGGAAAATGTAGATACTAATGAAACTTTCGCTGAATCATCCAAGCCTGAAATAAATACTGAGCCAATGAAAGATAGTTTACATCAATCACTAGAAAAAGATGTGGAGACATTGACAAGAGGATCAGATGATTTTGTTAAAAGTGAAGGACATATTATAGATGAACATAAACTTTCAGAAAATATATCTCATCAAAATTTAGTTGAACACAGCAAGTCAGATCCACTTGAAATCAATTACAGTGATTTGGATTCCTCCACTTATCTAATTAATGCCGAATCTACTTCAAGTTCAATTAATGTTGAGAAATCTGAAGTAAAATCTACTTCTACTTTGAAGGATAAAGAAGAGGTCAATTTATGTACTATTAATGGAGATACCAGTGCCGATGATGAATCTCTTGATCATCTAGAAAAAGAAAATGGTAATCTTGGAGAAAAAGACAATCCGAAGAAACTTGAAAACACTACACTTGTTACTGAAAGTGAAACCACAGAGAGTGTCTCTACGTCGACGGAGATTGATCAGAACAAAACACATACTGATAGAATGGAAATTTCAAATGAAAATCTAGGTGAAAACAACGTTTCTAAAGCTGAAGAATCTTCTAGTAAAGCAACCGCAGATCCTGAAGAAGAATGGATGGATATTTTAGGAAGTGGTCACTTGATGAAGAAAGTATTAACACCTGGTTTACCAAATTCAAGACCCCAAAAGTCTGATATTTGCGTTTTAAATATAGTTGGGTGCTTAGAAGATGGAACTGTTGTCGAACGACATGAAAATTTAGAAATTAATCATAGTGACAATGAAGTAATTCAAGGTTTAGATTTTGCTTTGGCATTAATGGATAAAGGTGAGGTTGCTGAAATCAAAATAACTCCCAGATTTGGTTATGGTTCATTAGGTAAAAGACCTGAAATTCCACCTGGTGCTAATCTGATTTATACTGTTACCTTGTTGGATGTTAAAGAAGAACCTCCAATCCATACACTGAATGTTATGGATAGGATTAAGAGTGGCCTTAAGAAAAAAGAGCGTGGAAATTGGTGGTATTCACGAGATGAAAATACGTTAGCTATTAATTGTTATCGTAGAGCCTTAGATTATTTAGATGACACTGACATCCCAGAGCCACATAATGAGGAAGATGTACATAAACTGTTAGAAGAACGTCTAAAAACTTACAACAATCTAGGTGCTGCTCAGATGAAAGTTTCAGCATTTGATGCTGCATTAATGTCTGTGAATAATGTTTTGACTGCACAACCTACAAATGTTAAAGCTTTATTCAGAAAAGCAAAGATTCTAAAAGAAAAAGGAGAATTACAGGAAAGTATAAATGTTATCAAGCTGGCTTTATCTCATGAACCCGATTCACAAGCTCTACAACAGGAACTTTCTTCTCTTATGGCTGCCCAGCGGAAAGTCAATTCGAAACAACGTGAACTATACAAAAAAATGATGGGAAATAGTAGTAACCAGCCTGATGAAGAATCTAAAAAGAAAGATTCTAAAAGTAATTATAAAACATTTACATTGGTTGCAGCTGTTAGTTTCGCTGTTGCTGTGTTAGGTACTATTGTAGTAAAATATAAATTTTAATACAACAAATATTGATATGACTTTATTCCAAATTGGTTTTGTTTAGTTTCTTTAGTAACAAAAACCATTTTAATTTCAATTCCATTCTTGGTTGTAAAATGAAGACTATTATGATGAATATTTGATAAAGTGAGTGTATTTGTTGATGAGTATCTGATTTTATTGAATTCCTTGTTTTGTACATTTTTTTATGTCAATGTTGTTCATGTTTGTCAAAATGTGGTGAAAGTTTACATCACTAAATATGTATATATGAGACAAGTAGTTATATTTTGTGTCACACCATGCCTTATTCTTTATTAATTATGAAAATCGTTTATTAAATAGAATAACTTAAAGCAGTATTGTTTTCTTGGATCCTTTTCAATACTATACATTCCTTGTATAGCATTTATTCTTAAATGTACTTAGTTTAAGAAGCATCAAGTCTGTCAGTCATATTAGTTTTATGAATATTCAGAACAATTTTTTTTTTTTTTTTTTTGGTTATAGTCATTCATAAAGATGTGTTTATTTTTCATCATTGATTTACAATTGTTACTTTTGATTTAGTTTATTTCATGGTTATTTACATCATTAGTAAAGTTGGATTTATGAATGTTATATTATCAATATTTTATCGAAGTAATAAATAGTGAATTAATGATAATTAATAAATACTAGTTGTACTGAATTGATCATTTGTTTTTATTTTTATTAATTCAATTTTTTTATATGAAATATTAAAAAAGATGTTTTTAGTGTTGGGGCTGGGAAATGTAAATTTTAAATAATAATGATTAAAAGGTATAGGTTCATTTATTTGAAGTGATACAATTAGTTTTAGTTGAGTTCTTTTTTTAATCACATAAATTTATAGATGTTTATTTATGTAAATGAAGCTTTTTGGAGTTATTACAAAGTACCACAATTATAGTACTTCTGTGATAAGTCAAAATAATATTACCTTCTATGACAATATTCATGTGGTATCATTGGTAAACAAATGAGAATTTCATCAGTTGTAAAAGAAAATAAATTTGTATTTTTAGTAATAAATTTTATGGAAATAGTTTGATGGTAAAAATAATACTTTATTTAGTATTATATTTTTTAAAAAATAATTATTAACAAGTAACTAGTAGATTTGGAGTAATGGTTGGAATATTCAAAGTCTTATTTTTACCTGATTATTAGTAAGCATCATGCTAGAAATTTTATATCATTATTTTTCTAAGCATTTCACTATTGATTAACCTTGTTATTTCATATTATTTTGTTGGAAATTGTATTCAATCAAAACTCCTTTCATAGAAAACAGTTTTCTTTTTTAATGTACTTAAGTTTTTATTCATTTGGTTGCCTCTTGGTACAAAAATCGAATCTCAGTCCACTTAGGCACCCGCCCAAGCATGTATTTTGACTCTTGGTTGATAACGGTTTTAATTGTCATTCTAACTTTTACAGAAACTCTTTTTACCATCCAAAGCCCATAATTCGGGGTTTATGCTTCTATGAATTATTAGCTTCTTTGTTTATTCGACATTCCTTTTACAAAACAACACAGTGTTGTTGCAGAGAATGTTTTGACAATTTTCTAAGTTTAATTATTTCCTTAGAAAATTCTTTGTTGCTCGTTTTTTCTTTTTTTTTTTCAGTGCATTTCATTTATTAGTTTTATGAACAAGAACATGGATAAATAATGGTCTTGAGGATTACTATTGCTTGATGAATAGTCTCAAAACATGTTTAAAGGTTGTGCATTTCTCAATATAAAAAATGGTTTATTAGGGATTCCTGAAACTTGAGTAACAACAATTCCCTTTTTATACCAACAAACCAACTGATGATGGGCTGACAGCCAAAAGGTCTTAAATATAAATTTTTTTGAAGTAGTGAAATTGTTTTTCCGGTCTCAGTGATACCTAGTAAATTTCTTACCATCATCTTAAGCGCAAATATACTGCAATAATAATAATAATTATTATTATTATTAAATGGACATAATCATAGTCAACTATTACGATTGTAGTAATCTTGGTTATAGGATTACGATAAGAGTAATCTTTATTATGTGATTACAGCGATCAGATTTCCGATTATGATTGTAAGCAGGTTATTGTGTCACAGTTTAGCTATATTTATAGAGCTATTGATTTAGGTACCAAAAGTATGGGCATTAAGTATTATTTTTAGTTTAACTATGTAATCATTGATTTCGATTTTGTCCATCTCTGAATGGTGTTATATACTACAATAATATTTTACATAATTTTTTTTAAGCTATTCTCTGTTGCATACATTAATAATAATAATGTGGATGTTATCACGATTATTTTTCTGGTTATTAATGATATCTGAACATGGAGCATTCTTATTTATAGTGCAGCTGATTACAGTCCTACTTGAATCTATTCATTCTAGCATTTTGCTTTCACATGATAATTTTATTTCTCCTGGCCAACATAAATTTATGATATTATATAATTAATACTTGGTATATTTCTTTTCACTTGGTTGCGGGCGCACCTATAGATTGGAGGTGTCTGTTTATTTTCTTGAGTGTCAGCTGAAATTTGCTTACCAAAAATTGTATTTAATACTTATTATTGTTATTATTTGTATTAAATAAAAATTATGAATATTAATATTTGATTCATAATATATACTATATTATAAATCTGTTTTTATTTAAAATTTTAATTTATGTTGTTATTTAATATAATAATTAATCTATACATTTTATTTATGGTAAAATGTTTTTAAAATAAATTAATGTTGAAATGATCAATCTCTAATGTAATTGTTATATTCCATTCCTGGTTATTATTAACTTGAATTTTATTAATATCAACAATTAAACTTTGCCATGATTTGAATTAAAATAGGTGTTGTGAAATTAATTAAATTTGTAAGATTACAAGCATTACAATAAATATGTATATAATTTTATAAGTATTTTAAATTTTAATAGGTTTTATAAAATTTAAAAATTCATTGGATTAAACGAAATACTAAAAAATATGTGTATAATTTAACCATTGTGGACTAGAAATAACAATAGATAAAAGCTCCGAATTTTTATATAAATGTATTGTTTTCATAATTTTCTCAGAAACGTGAAGTAATAACGTAATTAAACAAGTCATTCTAAAAATTTTGGTAAATTTGTTATCAAATATTTTTCCAAAATTGTATTAAAGTGCATATTTAGGCCTAGAAGTCATATATTTTTCATATTTCAAATAATTGTTTGTTTTTTTTTTTTAAATTAGATGTTAGTTTTTACGTCAATGGATATATGACATGATGTTAATCATACTTCCAGCTTTTACGAATTATCTTCAAATTATAAAATTTGATTGAAAATGAAATTTAACTCTTGGAGCTGTTAAATTGTAGTTTTTTATGTATAACTTTTTTCTGACCGATTTAATAATTATATATGCTAAACACTTTATACTACTAACTATGGCTTAGAGTAACCCAGTATTATTTATAGTATGTATACGACAGGATGTTAAGGGTATATCACTCCATTAAGAATAATCTGCACTGAATATAAATACAATATAACAATATTTTCTAGTCTATAACCAGATTATATCAAAAAGTTTATATTTATTGCTGTTTGCATGTTTTGTTCTTGTTAAGAATTTATCAGGATTGCAGGATATTATTATTATTATTAGTGTGGCTCTACAATCCGATGTCGAATCTTGGCCTCCTTCAACAGCCTCCTCTAATTGTCCCGGTTTCCTGCAGCCGCCATTCAATTCCGAAGCCCCAGCATATTTGTTGCATCAGCAGCTGATGGGTCTGGTAAAACTTCAGGATATTATAGATAGGGTATATTGAAAATTGAAATAAAAACATTGACTGAGTATCTTTAAAAAAATAACTATATTTTAAAATGAATATAATACAATACATTATAGTGTGCAAAGTTCCTTTTATTGTCAATTATGATTTCAATAGCTTGAAAAATATAATTTAAATAAAGAATATGTTCAACAATCTTCGATAAAAGTAGCATATATTAATATTTTATTGATTAATAAAATAAAATAATTTTTAAATAAAAACATTATATACATAGTTTTTTTTATGTGAGGTACACAGTGATGTTTTGCAAATTTTCTGTAATATTTACAAAATCACTCTTTATTAGTAATACTTTTAAAGAGACTTGTGTTTATTTAATGGATGGATTTATCCAAAATATCAAATTTTGTGATTGATTTGTACTTAAAATGATTTTTTCTGTTCACTAATCTATTGAGAGTGATCTAAATGATCCTTCCATTATATCTTGTTTACTTTTTTGGGGCCTTTTCTGAAGATCAGCAACTAATGAATCACATCCTCGAAGCCATTCCTTATATTCTTCTTTCATGAGTTTAGTATGCTCTTCTGTAATCAAAAGTTTTATTGATAAGGATACCTTTTAAGTAACAACAAAAAAAACTATGAATGAAAAAGAAATAATTAACTACCAAAGACCTTGTTGATTAATAACCTTCATACAATCTGAATCAATTTGGTGCAGTTGATTTATCAAAAATTTTCCAGTTAGCTTTTGTTTTTTTAATAAATTATTATTTTCATTATAGAACCGAAGACTATAATGAATACTGATCCAGGTTCTGCTGATTTATAATTAAGGTCTGATAGAAAATTTAATGCAATCCTTTACTTGGCTTATTATTTTAGAAATAGAATGATTCTTGCTCTCAACGAACTTGCACAAGACGTGTGATCTCCTATTTCAATGAACCCTTTTTTGGTGATACTAGGTCATAAAATACTAAACCCATGTCCGAATATTCTTACCTATTTACCTCTGAAGCCGAGAAAACATTTTTTAAATAAAATTTAATTATTTTTGTATATTACTGCTTTGCATGAATTTCTAAGTTATTATGTATCAATTGATTTGTTTTGTTTTTTTGTGTGTAAAATAAGAAAAACATATTGCTAATTTTATTAAACAGATCCTAATGTATAATAAATAACAAAAACCCAAAGACAATTTCTGTATGCCAACTAAATTTTGATGATGAAAAATGATTCAGATTCGGTTTTAGAGTCCTCTTAAATGCTTAAATATGAGTTTATTTTGAAATAAAAAATATAAAGTTTTGGATCTAATTATATTGGAAGATTCTTTTTTATGTTTTTTACTAAAATATTCTTAACTCCTCAGGGTTTTCTCCTAAGTCAATGTTTCTACAATGGTCAGAAAGCTAAATTATTGCTTTTGAAAACCACATCAATAACTTTTAGATTTTATGCCTTGATAAGGAATAAATAAAGAAAGTATCCCTAAACGTTCTTATTTTTTATATCTAAGCCCAATTTATTTACAGACTTCTGCTTTGTGCTATTTTATGTATACTATAGAACCCTAAATTCATGCTCATTTTCATGTAGATAAGTGCTATCACCATGCCAAACTTATTGCAATTTTTGGATTTTTCGAAAACAAAAATTCGAGCAGGTAATATACATATTATTATTAATTGTTATTATATTATATTAATTAATTATTATTATTAAGTTTCCTATGTTTTCTGTAAGAGAGAATGAATGAATACCAGGAAGATAAAATCGAAACTCAGGTTTTGTGAGTATGATTGCCGCAACTTGTGTTTAGAAACTAAATGTATAAGGTATCAGTTTGTCTTATATTAGCAGAACAGTTTCCATTATTGTATGATTAAATTAAATTTAATTGTTTTTGTAATAATGATTAAATTACCATGAATAACAGCCGTAGGTTTACTATCTCCACCATATTCTTCTGGTAAAAGTTCCAAAGGCACAAATTCTTTTAACGTATCCAGTGTATGGTGAAAATGCAACTAGAAACATACATGAATGTTAGTGCTAAATATTCTGCTAGACTCTAATTTCAATTACTCTGTTACTTAGTTCATTATTAGAAACATTGGATTCAGACTGTTTTACATTACATTATGAATATTAATTTTTTTTTAAATTACACTTTATTTTGAAATACTCTTAGATGTATCTTAAATTTATATAATCGGTACATTCTGGAATCAAAGTAATAACACATGGAGGAGAAGATCAATAAAAAGCTGCTTTCAAAAACTTGTCCATCAATGATATCAAAACAAGATTAAGGACATCTAGGTTGAATTAATTCATCTGAAAGCCTCTGTACAATGAATGTTTCAATAGATTGCAAAATACCATGTGTGAGGCCAAAAATCAGATGGAGAGATAAAACCAACAATTATGTTGCACATCAGCTGTAGCAAACTTGAAAGGAATTGTTCAAGACAGGCAGAAGTGGAGAAGGCTGATCTCGAAGGCTAATCTACAAATAATGTAAAGCCAACAAATTAGCTAAAGAAAATAATCAGTAAAACAGAAACTTGTAAGATATGATGTCAATGAATATAAATAGAAAAATGAGTGAAGATAGAACATAAGAAAAAAAATAAAGAGCAGCAAATACAGAAGAATAAAAAAAAAATATCAAGTGAAAAATTACTTAGAAAAACATGTGATTATAAGCAGTAGATGGTTACATAATACATAAATGGTGTTGATAGCAGATTAGGCGCTTACAGAAAGATAAAGTAGTTGTACAATGGATAGGGTGCCAGTTGCAGGAGCAGGAATACTATTATCGAAAAATATAGTATCCAGATTATCAATCAACTTATTGGTGGAACAGAAGAAGAATTGTTTATGAAAATCATTGTGGTTTTTAAACCTCTCCTATAATTGTGAACTGGATCCTGTTAGGTTTATTTAGAATGACTTGTACCTCTATTTTTTTTTTTTTTTTTTTTTTTTTTTTTTTTTTTTTTTTTTTTTTTTTTTTTTTTTTTTTTTTTTTTTTTTTTTTTTTTGTAACGATACAAAAGCTGTGTACAGACAGAAGTGAGCTGACAGGTTATACTATAAGTAATACTTTTAAAGGTTAAAACATAAAAGATTAAGTGCAAATATTTTATATATATTTGATTCTTAACTAATAACTATTTATTTATTTAGTTTTTTTTGTTCTCTACCCTGTAGGGTCATTGGGGACACTTTCAAATTAAATTCTATTATTCAGTTTCACCGCTTTTAGGAATGCTAATGTTTTTTTAACAGTTTTTTCATTGTCTTTTAATTTTTCTGGTAGGTTTGGATAGTAACTATTGAAATTTATTAATGCAATTGAAACATTCTTTATATACTGTTTAACATTTACATTTAGTACACATTGAATGTAGGCATGTTATATATATTCTTACCAACTCCATAACCTCTGAATGAATTAGAGGCTTTACTAGGTTCAAGATTTTGTCAACAAACCATACTGTATTTATGACATGAACTCCTTTCAACCTTGCTGGATGCCCTTCCTGAAAAAAAAAAGAGGTGTTTTTATATTTAAAAACAAATTTATGATAGCTGAATTTAATTATTACTCCCTAGAAAAACACAAAATAACATAATCAAAACACTGCAAATTATTTCACAATTTTTTACTATTTCTCAACAATTGTACATCTAAAGTAACATTGCCTTTCTACTGACAAATTAAAAGAAATAAAAAGTTAATTCCAATTATTTGTCTAAACATTTTTTTTCATTGTTAGTAATTTGCTAAAAAATAAAATAGCATTACTTTTTTTTTTTTTTTTTTTTTTTTTTTTTTTTTTTTTTTTTTTTTTTTTTTTTTTTTGTTCTTCCCTACCTCGCCTTTTAGGCTATACGGGATTTTCCCGGGCCGGGGGGTGAGGGCGGGGAAATTTAAAATCCCCTCCGGCACCGGGACGCGAACTCATACTTTTTATATCATCTCAAATTTCTGTTATCCGGTTGCCAGGCAACTAGCGGTGCTGTTACACACGCTTTAGCCTATTCGGCCACCTCGCCCCCGAAAATAGCATTACTTCAGTAACAAATTCAAAAATCCAAATCCAAATAAGGATTTGCAGTTGAACTGAATTTAAAACATCTATAGACCATATCTTTGCTCCTAATTATCCGATTTTAACGTTTTTTTTTAGGAAATTAAGTAATCTTTTAAAAAACCATATCTACAAAAATTTGTATACTTTTTGAGTTATTCGAAATCTAATTTTACCATCCGTCGTAACTTATTTTCCAGCTTCTTTTCGTTGAAGTATGTTGTATGGATACATTTAAAGGGCATCAAGAAGAAGACTTTAGCGAAGTTACATTGAAATTGGTACATTCGTTTAGTTTTTCGGTCGCCACCTTGAGAGAAAAAGACGGATAGAAATGTCGATGAAGGAAGATCATCCTCCAGTGATCTTTAATTTTAAATATAAATATGAAAAAATCGGTCAAATAGTTTCGGAGAAAATGCACGGACGACGGACGGACAAAAAAATTATTATTCGTTTTTCAAATTCTACTTATCCTAAAACATAAAAGCAGAAATTTTGAGAGGGGGTTAGGTTAAGTTTTTGAATTTTTTGTTGGATCACAATCGTTCATTATTGAAAATTATAAACCAAAATGTGGTGCACGCAACAAAAAACGTTCACTTAGCGCTCTACTTTGAATAGAAATTATTTTCTGACAAAGTTTGGCTATTATAAATTTTTTAATGGAGCTACAGCTTAAAGTTTACAACTAACAAATCATTAAGACCATTATAATAACAAAAACCCTATTAATTATATCAATGGTAGACAATAAAAACCTGGTTACTACATGAGTTTAAACCACATAACTCCAATTTCTGAGCTATCTATATGTCTACGTAGATGGCTACAGAGATTTGAAAGTGTATCTGTATATTCAACCTATAAAGGATTATGGATTGTTCGCCTATTATTTATTAAATGTTATTTTCCATTGTAAAATTTACTAAAATGAAATTACAAGTTTTCATGGTTATGTCAAAAGTTGTCACACTAATTTTAAGTTGATAAGTTCGCAAAGGGGAAATTATTCACTAATTTAATTTTCTAAAAGTTTACATGACGATTTTTCGGAATAATCGAAAGTTGTTACCTAATTATTTAAGTATAATATCAGATCTAGAATTATTAAACTACAGTAAATGTATTTAAGGTTATAAACATATGTTTTATACATCCATGAAATATTTTTATATTTCAACTATTCTATCACACAAGTACAATAAAATAGATTTTTAAACAATGTCATTGCCTTGATTAGTTGGTTTGATAACAATAGTCGTCTTCAGAAATTATTATTTATATTTTTTTTTCTTCACTCTTCACTACTTTCTATACCAGATATTTTTTTTTTCTAAAATTCTCCGCTTTTGAACGATATATTATACGTATACCTTCTGACCATTATTTCTGAAGATTCATTTTCGAGCTAAATTAGTATTTTTCCTGTTTTCTCCTTTATTTAATTATCAAATTCTTTCAAAACTTATATTTATCCTTTTTTCATTATTCATATCTGTTGTGGACTATCCACTATTATTATATGTGTTTGGAAAGTGAATTATGACAACACTGTTTTTGGCAGGACGCCAACTTAATGCAGCTTGGGCAAGCATGCAGGTTGTGTGTGATGTACATAATGTTAATACTTTAAATGTAATAAAGTGCTCTACCCCTGATAACTGTTTTATTCTATTGATGAACCCCAGTAAGAACACAAAAATATCAATGAGAAATAGTTAATTATCTAAAATAAACCAAATTAAAGGTACTTTAGAGGAAGACATGCTGAACATTGGGCATTTAAGCCCTGTAAAGTGACATGAATGGGGAAAAGATCTAAATTATATTAAAGACCGCTTAATTATACATTCATACACCGAGTTTAATCAAAATCTTTAGAGCCGTTTTTGAGAAAACAGTCTCTCCGGAAAAGAAGAGACAGTCCTCTGCCGCTCAAGAATTGGGCATTGTGAATTTTCACATGCCTACTTACTAAGAGGACTAGACCCACCGACTTGCGAGAGCTGTAATGTGTAAAGAACTGCCCAACACATTATTCAAGACTGCCCAGTATTTAAGAATGTAAGGAAAAATCTTGATATGGCTCAGAGTCTAAAAGAAAACCTCAGTGACAACGAAAACACCGTGGAAAAAACCTTACAATTTTTAAAAATAATAAAGTTCTACAATAGAGTATAAATAGGAAGTGTTGCCAATGACCCTCCAGGGTAGAGACAACAATAAAAACAAATAAATAATTCTAGCATAAATTATTCATAAGATGTATTAATAAGACAGTATTACAAATACTCTGAATTATTTAACGGTTTTTTTTTTCTTTACGCATTAGAGCCTCTTCTGCTACATGACCTCTTGCAACGCTTTAAGTTAGGCCATTTTCAATTTCAATTCCCTTAAAGATGAAATATCCTTATTACAAATTAGCAAACATTTAAATAACTGGTATCTTTTTAATCTGTAGGTACTCATAGATTTGGGTTATTAGATAAATAAATTAAGAAATCAAATTGTTAAAAGTAAAATTGATAAAATGAGTATTCCTTTTCAAATTTCCTTGCAAATTTTCTTTTTACTTTTTTCACAGCCCTGGTCTTGTACATTCTAATTTGAATCACTGACATCTTTGATAAAGAAAACTAACTAGTGCAACATTCCGTTATTAGAAAAATGTTCATACCAATCTTTCAAAATCTAATAATAGATTATAAATTAAAGATCATTAGTTTTATTTTTGATGAATCACAGTTAAATTTATTAACTCTATAGACTCGAATAAACACAAGATAATTCATTTTTTTAAATTCCTATGACAAGTTGTTAATTTGTTTTACATATATTTATGTATAATACATTGGTCAATATATTTAAGTATGAGCATATATTTAATTCATTTGGACAAAAAAAAATTCATTTTCTTACCTGGATGTATATCATAAATGCCTTAATGTAATTCATGTAAGGAGTTGCTCTGGCAAGATGGCCCATAGAACAACCTTTCATGTCAAATATAACAATGTACCCTGGGCAAAGACCGTCCTCTGATATTCTGACATCATTGAATGATAAGAACCCTCTCAGGCCTTCTTGGAAAATGAACTTATTTGGATCTGGATCTTTAAGTCTGTACAGTAGCACATTGTAACCTTCAGGAGTTTTTTTTGGGATTGGAGCTAATTCACTGAAATAAAAATATTTAGGGGTTAGAAGCTTGAAACATTTAAATTTTAATTAATAATATCAAATTAAATTATAGTTTGCAGTCGCAGAGAAATATGAAAATAATTTTATATTTATATATTCTCTGAGACTGCTAACCCTCAACTAACTTTCCAATTATAATATCTAGAAACACTATTTCTCTACCAAATGAAGTTATAGTATACAAATTTTTTTAATATAAATTTAGAATTTTTGAACAAGTTATCCTACAAATATAAATTATTTACCAATTAAAAAAACAAAACTAAAATTAATGATTTTGGGTATAGTGACTAATAGCAATATACAGAGGTGTACCTAGAGATTAGAGTGGAATGGAGTATGCCCACTCCCTAAAGGTCTCAGTTTGTTTATTTTTTCTCAATTTAATAATAATTCTAGTAAAAAGACATTTTATACATATTTTTTCAGTCAGACGAGAATTTTAATGTTTTTATTTAAAAATACCGATTTTATTATTATCTTTTATTTTTTATAGGAGGCCTCAAAGATGAAATTATTTAATTTATTTTTATTCTCGGGTCCTAGAACCCATTGGAACGACCGCCGGTACATGTGTCCACTATTTTTCGATGTATTGGGTTGCAAATAAGTCCTTTCGGTATATCTGTTTATTTTGATGTCACTATGATAAACTTCTTATCTGACGAATTAATCCCTAAGATGGATTATTTATCCTGTTTGTAATATGTCAACAACTATATCTATTGACTCTTGTTAAAACTAGCTTAGTTTTGTGTTTGCTATTGCACTGTGAAAATGGAAGACAATACATTATCGGCATAGTATTATTATTTTAAAAAAGGTAAGCGTAAAGGAGAACTTCATAGAAAAAATTGCAGTGTTTATCGGTATGACGTGTTAACCGAACACACCTATCAAAATTGGTTTACCAAATTTCATTCAGGAAATTTTGACATCAATGAAGCTCAACGTTGTGGTCGCCTACATGAAGTTGGAATGAGCAATGTTAAGGCCATTGTTGATAAAAATCCTACCCAATCAGTGCGAGAGATTGCTATGACCCTAAATGTGTCGCACGCAAGCTTAGAAAACCATTTGCACCAGCTTGGTTATGTTTCTAGACTTAATATTTCGGCCCCTCACCTCAGTTTTTTTCGGAAAAAAAAAAAATTCTTACTTCAATACGTCTTTGGCTGTCAACAAAAAATGTAGCAGGAATTTAGAGCCACATAAACTACACAAAATGACATCAACAGGCACAAAACCTTCGTAAACAAACTACAAATGGAGATATAAAATAAAAACCTATAAGGAGTTTTTGTTTATTTATTTCTTATATAGGCATTAAATCAAAAACCGTCCATACGGCTTTGAAGAGCAATAATTCAGCTTTCCAACGGATATAGTTACATCAAATTTGTATAACATTCTGAAGAGTTATGAATGATCGGGAGGGTGTTGTGTTCCACCAAGACAACGCGACCCCACATCTCATTGGTCACTCGCAATAAATTATTGAGCCTTGGATGTGACCTTTTGATGTGACCCTCCCTATTCACCAGACCTAGCTCCAAGTGACTACCACTTATTCCGGTCTCTGCAGAACGCCCTGAATGAAAATAAATTAAAAAAGGAAGAGGACATCAAAAATCACTTTGATCAGTTTTTTTACTATAAACTCCAGATATTCTAAGACATAGCATAATGCAGTTAGTGGAAAGATGGGAAAAAGTCATATTAAATAATGGTCAAAATATATTCTTGATTAAAATAAATTTTATGTCTATAATACATCTTGTTTCACCCTGAAAAACCGAAAGTACTTATTTGCCTACCCAATATTATCACCGAAAAAAATTGGTTGAAATCGGTGACCACTGACTGTAAAGTCTGAATGAACGTTTAATAACGTGTTTGTGAATTTCTAACAATATTTATCAAAAAAAAAAAAAACCTTAGTGCACTAAAATGGTAGTATTTGAAGGGGTATGTGATTTGTGTGGGGGTAGTGAGATGTTGGGGTGGAAGATGGGGATATTGGGTTTTGGGTGATTTGGGGGTGTGTTTGGGTTTGGGGGTGTTTTAGGGTAGGGTGAGTGTGTGGGGATTGTTGGAGTAGTATGGGGTTTTGTTGATTATGTGTGTTTGGTTTTTTGTGGGTGGGGGGGGGGGGGTGATTGGATGGGATGTTTTTGTGAGGGGGATTGGGTTAGGGGGTGTTGTTGTATTGTTTGATGTTATGTAGGGAGGTATTTGGGTAATATGGGGATGGGTTAGGGATAGGTAAGGATGGGGTGTTGTGATGTAAGGTTTGGGATGGGTGATGGTTATTTGGATGGGGTAGTTGGGTTTTTATTGGTTTATATTTAGTAGTTGTTTAAGGTTATATGGGGAAATGGTGGTATTTTGGTGTGGAGTTGGGGGGGGGAGATTTGTTTTGTTTAAAGGTGGAGATTTTTTGAGTTGGATGATTGTTTGGTTAGAGGGGGAAGGGGGGATTTTGGAGGGTTGTGAGTTTGTGTTGGGGAAGGGGGTTGTGGATTGGTTGGGGGGAATGAATGGGGATGTGATTGGGAGGAGAGGTGATATTAGGTAGGAGGGGGTGAGTGATTTAAGAGGAGTGGAGGGGGATGTTAATTAGGGAAATTTTATAGTGGTGGGAATAGTTAGGGTGTTTGAAGTAGGATGGAGTAAGAGGGTTTGTTTGGGTATGTGGGGGGTTTGTGTTAGAGTATGGTGGAGATTTGGATAGGGGGGGGGGGTGGGTTGGTGTTAGTGAGGATTTAGGAGTGGAGTGAGAGGGGGGGTATGGAGGATTTGGGTGTGGGGATGTGGGGGTTGTTTTAGGAGATTTTTTGTTTTTGAGTAGATGTGGGGTAGAGTGTATTTGGTATAATGAATGAAGATGTTGTTTTGGGGGTTTTTAGGGTGGTTGATGTTTTTTGAGTTAGATGGAATTGGATTTGTGGAAGTATTGTGTTTTTGTGGAAGGGGTTGTTATTTGGTGTTAGGGTGGGGTGGGGGTTGTGGTGAGGGGTGATATGTATAGTTTTTTGTTTGGAGGGTTTTTTGGTTTTTGGGAGATGTGATCTTAAGATGGTGTTGGTGATTGTGGTGATGTGTGTTTGATTTTGTAGGTTGAGAAATGGGGGGTGTTTGGTATATGAGTGAGGGTGGAGTTTGTTGTTATATAATTTATATTGTTTTTGTGTGGGTTGTTTGGAATGTAGGGTTTGGTTGGTATTGTTTTGGGGTTTTTATTTGTGTTTTTGTTTTATAATTGATAAATTTAAATAAACAAATCCAGGGTATGCAAATGCATTATTGACGGAACCAGTCGTTCTGTTTTTATTGATTGCGTTGATTATTACACATATTGTGGCTGAAAAACTATTCATTACGCATAGTTTATTACAAAAAATCATTGAGTAATATTTCATTGCCTCAAAGAACTAGGAACTTTGATGAATTGTGTCTTTGTGGAATCAGATAACTGAGCACTATGATGAATAAATAGGTGTGTCATTTTAATGCACTTATGATGTTTTTGTGTGGATAAATAGAGCGAAATTCATAAAAACATATTGGAAGTTAACTTATACAAAAATGCACTTAGTGACTTTTTTAAAAAACCGATGATATTTTGAAGTGAAAACTTCTTAGCACTTTATTTCGTGTTTATTGGATGAGGCTGAGCCGTTATGCTCATTCGTATAAAGTCGGTTCTAATCGACTAATTTTTGCGTTTGAATTAAAATATCTCAGAAACTAACAATCGGGCCTGCATACTGTAAGCTAAGGAAATGTTTGGTATACTCTTTGTAATGAACTATTACTCAAAATTGTATTTTAGTGTTAGAAAGGAAAAAATATAAATTAACGACTGTTTTGAACATTAGAACAAAAATATCTCAAACGTTAAAACCATAGAGAATTCAGATACAAATTTGCAGAAGTATTATGTAGACATTTTTCTACCTATATTTCATGGAGGATAAATGGATAAAAATGACGATCGGTCAGAGCAAAGTATACAGAAGTAATTTACATGCAAATAAATAATGAAAAAAATCATATTTCAGATTATTAAACCCGTCTTGTTGATGTTTTCATTTTTATTTTACTTATATACGCACATACCGTAGTTTTTTTTTTTATCATTTAAATTAGATGTAATTTTTATGTCAATTAATATTTAAAATATTAATTATATTTATAGTATATTTCATCTTTGTACCAGTCCCTTAAACAATAATCTAGGAGGGAAACTAATCGGACCACCGCTTAACTAATTCCACCGCAATGAGGAAAACGTTGTAAATATTCCTTAGCAGCAGGTGCAGCACACGCATTGCAAAAACCGTGAACAAACAACATATCGGCATATTTTCTATGTCAAAAGATATTTAGCATTTTTTAAGACTTTTGTAATATGTATATTATATTATTATTAATTTGCTCAACAGTCCTTAACGGACTTGGGTCTCAGAAACAAGTTTTCGCCAGCTTTCCTACCCACAGCTGTTCTCTTTAATCTCCTTATACACGTACGGCTGAGGTCTTCTTCTACATCGTCGATCCACCGCAGCGGGTGTCTTCCTCTCAGATGTGCTCTTCCTGGGCGACTATAAAGAAGTTTCCTTGACCACGTATCTTCTTCCATCCTTTCTACATGACCTAGCTATTTGAGGCGGCACTTTTTGACCGTGACAACAATATTATCATTATTATAAAGCTCCAAAGGCGGATCTACGTGGGAGCTTTCAAGCTGAAGCCCCTTCCCCTCCAAAATGGTAAAATATAACCATGTTTTATGAAAAAACAGTATCTCTAAAAGTATTATTGTTCGTCTAATTACATTTAATAGGACTTAAAGAACCACTTAAACTCCATTTCATATAGGTTCATATAGTTCTTATTTCATTTCATATAGTTTCTTACTTTCTTCTGAAGTAATTATCCTAATACATACATACACATAAATATATTTCGGGCTGAAGTCCCCAAAATTAAATCCTGATCCGTTAGTGTAAAGCTCATCATCTGGTTGGTTGACGGGCAACGCGTGTTTTGTACACGCGTTGACCCGCTCGGCCATCCCGCCCCCACATAAAAACACTTATATGCTGTAATTCTAGCTTTTAGGTGCCTGCATTTTGTTTTAGTCTATGAATACAACTCCCAGGTATTTAAATTCCTTCCCAATTGGAAAACGGTGCTGATTGATTTGTATACACTTATTAATTCCTACATTATTTCTTGGGGATTTGATGTAAAGGCATTTAAGGCATTGTAAAGGCATCTTCATTTATGTTTATGCCAAGTTGCTTGACTGTACTTTCGAATTTCTCGATCGATTCCGACTGGGACGACAATGTGCGAGCGCTGATAAGAACATCGTCCACATATGAAAGACTTTTATAATACAAACGAAAATAAGAATGAAATCTTTGTGATGATCACTGACACAATTAACACATGTTATAATCTGATTGTAACTTGTTTACAATCTGTTGTAAACAAAATAATAATACTAATACCGAGATGCTAATAGATTTATGAAATATTTAGTGTTTGTTTATTTATAATTAGCCAAAAAATTGTTAACAAATGAAAATCGGATAAGAACGCAAGAGCTTTATTTTTATTATTTTTCTGAGAGCAACTCACTCCTGGAGTTTGCCCCGTTCCTCCGAATCATCCTGTATTTTTTCGATTTCTTATTGAGCACATCAATTTCAATTTAATGCGATGAATATTATAAGTAATCTAATCCCATGATATATTAAATTTTCAAGGGTTAAAGTAGTCTTACCGAAAGACCTAAAATCCTAAAATGCTAACAATATATCACAGAAATTTAAATAAATCTACTTACTAAGTTTCGTAGTCGAATTCATCAACTTCCCATTTGGTAAAGAGGTCTTTGTTTTCAGCTCTAACTGTGAAATATGAGTTAATAGTCACTTTGGTCCTGTCGAGGCTGAAATAATTACAGTGCAGGAACAGCATTATAAATTCATCTAAAAAACAAAACAAAAACATAAATTACATCTAGGTAGTCCAAACGTTAGTGTTAGCCAATATATTTTTAATTTATGAATAAACAGTTAATAATAACTATTTTTTTTTCTCTATGACACTAAGCTTTTATCTTAGGCTTTGATTAACAATAGATCAGAAGAAATAAATAGGATTAATTTAGGATAGAAAAAAATCTGGAAGCTAAAAAACGTATTCAGAAATCAAGTCAGAAGTATTGGAAAAATGTATTTATGCAGTAATTTTATACGGAGCTCAAACACGGTCTACACTCTGAAAAAAACTACGAGAAGCTCAATAGGACACAACTTCAATTCTCCCCACAGGCGGATCTATGGGGAGGCTTTCGGGCTTAAGTCTCCCTCCCCCCCAAAATGGTAAAATATGGTAAAAAATAACCATGTTTTACAGAAAAAAATATTAAAAACTATCTCTTAAAGTATTCCGGTTCCTGTAATTAAATTTAATAGGACTTCAGGAACCACTTAAACAGATAGGTAGTTAATTTATTTCTTTTTTTTCAAATCAATTATCGTTATATGCATATGAAAAAAAAAATCTTTCGGGCTGAAGCCCCCCAAAATTAAATCCGGGATCCACTAGTGATTCTCCCGAAGCCTGCTAGGAATTCAGAGGAAATATAGGATCAGCAGCAAAAGAGTTCAAAGTCAGGTAGAGCTTAGAAGCTTACAAAATCCATTCACCAAGGAGAACTCGGAGCCAAGCAATTCTCTCCAATCATGGAAGGAAAGGCATGACTCAAGGAGATCCCAGCGCCTCGCATTCAGCCACATTACTATTGAATACCAATTAATTAAAAAAAACTTTGTTCATTGTGTTTTTAAAGTTAATTATGTTTTTATAAGTTTGAATAATTCTGAAGGAAGAATAATTTACATATTTTTTGAAGAGAAGGATGATTGGGGGCGATCAGTCAAAATAAAAAATGGAAAAATAAATAATAATATTTATTATTAGGCAATTGTAAAAATAAAAATAAATATTATTATTTATTTTTGCCATATTTTATTTTTACTGATGACCCCAACCATTCTTCTCTTTATTTACAGTCAACCATCAACCCCCAATTATAAATATTTTTGCTAAAACCAGACTCCATTTGAGAGGCTTTATGTTCTATTAAGAATGTACAATAAAGCTGTTATTATTATTATAACTCTAGGCTAACTCAATTGTAGCTAACCAAAGAGGTACAAGTAAGGCTGTTTATTAATAGTCGGGATGGCATGCGGATTTACGGGGAGGAGGACTTTTGGCTGAAGCTTCTCCCTCCCCCCTCCTCCAAACTGGTAAAATTTAACCATGTTTTATGATAACAAAATATTAAAACTTATCTCTTAAAGTATAATTGCTCGTGTAATTACATTTAATAGAACTTCAAGAATAAATTAAACACCATTTCATACAGGTAGTTAGTATCTTTCTTTTTTCCTCAAAATAATTGTCGTTATATATATATATATATGAAAAAAAAGGTTTCAGGCTGAATCGCCCCTACCCCTCCCCCCCCCGATTAATTCCTGGATCCACTAGTGGTCGGGATCAACCGCAACAAGCACGAACCCTCTTCAGCCATCCTCATTGAAACCACTCTTGACAGTTGCATTATAGATTCTTTGTTCTTATCTTGTTAATTTTGAAGATATTCTTCTCCTTCACATGCGAAAAATACTCATATCCTACGAAATTTCTGGGGGAAAAGTTACGAAGGAAAAGAATTTTTATTTGTGAACACCTCAAAAAGTATGCATTTTTTTTTCTGTATAATTAGAAAGATTACTAAATTACCTACAAAACAAAAATAAAAAACGTAAAAATACTATATAATCTTATTTATATTGTGATATAATTATAACTATTATGAAATAGAAAAGGAAAAAAGATATAAGTTACAATGAAAATATTAGAAATAAAAGGATTAAATTCATGTTGGGTTTATACGAAACTAGACAAGTTGAATGTATATTATGGTTTCAAATTAGCAATAATAATGATTATAATTATATAAAAATATAAAATTGGCAACTAGACGCGAAGTATAATATAGATTTTTAAAGAAATTAAAAATTTGCCCGAATTGTGGTTTCGCTCAATTTATTTTATGTTGATAAAAAAATATTACAATCTGAACTACAGAATAGTTGTAAATTATATATATATATATATATATATATATATATATATATATATATATATATATATATATATATATATATATTTTGTCCTTTTCTCGCCGTTAAGGCTATACAGGGTTTAAAAGACCTCCTCGGCACCGGGACGCGAACTCGTGACTATTTTATATGATTTGATTGATATATCAGGTTGCCAGGCAACGACGATGCTGTGCACACGCGTTAGCCCATTCGGCCACCCCGCCCACTATTTGTAAACTATAGTTATAAAAATTGAGCAACGAGTTGTACAATTAAATGAACAGTTGTAAAACTTGTAAAATGAGGAGACATAAGGTACCTCCTCCCCTCCCATAATATTATATAATAATTTGTACTTATTTTATTCAAAAGTTTTAAATTATTAAAATAAAATTCCGTCTTGTATTGTTTTTTAATGCTCAGGTAGAGTACTACAAGAAATCAAAGCCATACGGTTACATTTAAAATTCGACAATTTCCTTAATATCAGAAGGAACTCTAATTAGTACTCTTAAAAAAAATACAATCAGTCAGTATAATCAAAATACAGCGATATATTTAGCGTCAAATAAAAAGTAGATGTTGAGTTGAGAAGGATGCTTTGGGAATCCCAGCTAAGGCACAATTACTGCTAACCGTTTACCAAATCTTTTTTTTTTTTTTTTTTTTAATTATCCTTAATAGTTTCTAGTTGCTAACCGACATTCAATTATTCAAAAAAAAATAATTATGAACAATAATCATCTTGAATATTTATGATTATTTTTTCTTTATGTAGTGGTGAGCTAAGGCCATCACTACGTCAAAACAACTTGTACGTTTTCTTAGAAAGAAAATGTTCCCACTGAATCTTAAAATATTTTATTACATCAGAGGGGCCCAGAAGGGGATTTCAATTTTTGAGGGGGCTCATTTCGACGCGGTTAAGAATTTTTAAAAAAAAATTTCTAAAAAAAAACAAGTGGAAACATGGAAATTGGACCGCAAGATGTGTAATTGTATATATTATATGAATATCGAAGTTCTACTTTCGTTTGCACTGTTTTTAAGATGCAGAGAGCTATTAAATATCTTGAATAGCACGGGGGAAGGATTATACACCTTCGGCCTGGGGAGGGAGGGAGGAGAGAGATAGTCACCCCTGTATTACGTAACAGAATCAACTTGAAACAATAGGTAATAATCATCTTTGATAATCAATATTGTTTCCCTCAGGTTAAATATTTTGCTCCATCAATATTCAAAGATTTAAATCCAAATTCATATTTCAAGAGGAAAAATACATATTTATACTAAACCAACTAGTTCAAATTATTGATGAAAATACTCGATTTCTTCCACTCGAATCGTTGGATAATTTTATCAAAATTCCAGAAAAAAATACAAAAATACTGGACCATTTGGCGTTACCGTCACCCTCAACATGTCAAAAAAACGAGGTTATATAGGCCAATAGCCCAATGTTTTTGTTAGCCGCCTTTATTCTCGTTTTTTGTTCATGAGTTTATATCAGCTCTTTAAATTAATTAATTTAATGAGGCGATTTTAAGCTGCCAGTGTTTCAACTGCCTCCCGCAGTGCTACATCCTACGCCCTGATGAAGACCTGCAAAGTGGGTCGAAACGTCGGCAAAAATTAAATAATACTATTCGTATAATTTAGTATTTATTTGACCGCACCCCCCGATCAAATCCTTCTCATAATTAATTTAATGTTAAATCGTCCCATTTCAGAGAATTTTCGTAGAAAAAAACATTGTAGTTTACAATTAGATGGAGACATCCACAAAGTTTTAGTCGAATGTTAATAATTTGATAAAAAGGGATCTGTACTGCGATTATGTTATCTTGTTTTTAAAAATTTTATCTCATGAAAAACATGCTATAATTAACACGTAAAATTGATCTATCAAAATAATGATATACATATTCTTCATATAAGTTCTGACGAAATAAATTATAAAATTGTTTTTTGGAATCTTATAAAAGCAATAACATCTAATTACAGAACAATTAATGCAACATTTGTCTTTGTAAATTTTACATTAACAAAGTACCTTTTTTTCTAAGTTGAAAATCCATATTTTTAATTCTTTCTATTGTAATACTATAACTACGTTATTACTTCATCTTAAATACAGTGAAAATTTTACTCAAAACCAAAACATTAAACGGGGTTTTATAGAACTGGGCGGATCAAAGTCGAAAGTCCCAAGATAAATGAAGTCCGCCACCTTCCCAAATGTGAAAGGTCTAGTAGAAAACAGGGAATATCTTCCGAAACCTGTGAACACATATTTGGCCTTTGCCCCACGATGATGATCCTTATGGATAAGATTCACAAAGGCATCCTCCAGTGATGGTCGTGACCACGCCACAATACCTATATACCTATATGTCACAATACCTATATACCTGTATACCACCATACCACAATAGGTCCTCAGTATAGACAAGCACCTCAACCATATGGATACAAATATATTTATATACTAGTGGTTGATGGTTAATTGTAGCACTGTAGCGGATCCTGAATTTAATTTAGTGGAGGAGGGTTCAGCCCGAAAGCTTTTTTTTAAATATATATAATGAAAATTAATTTGGAAAAAAAAAGAAAGAAGCTAACTACCTATATGAATGACATGATGTTTAAGTGATTCTTGAAGTCCTATTAAATCTAATTACACGAACTATAATACTTTAAGAGATAGTTTTTAATATTTTCTTCTATAAAATATAGTTATATTTTACCATTTTGGGGGAGGGGGGAAAGGAGAGCTTCAGCTCGAAAGTCCTCTCCTCCCCTCC